GTGCCTCATGGGATTCTAATAGTATGTTAGCGCTAAGCTAACAGAGCTGCGCATGAACATTTTTTGACCTCTCTAGATTAAAGACTGACATTTGTTGTGAAAAATTCCATATGTTTTATTTGATGCTTGTAACAGGCTTTAACAGATATTTTATCTGCATGTAGCAATTGTACAGTGACCTTTTCAGTAAAAAGCCTTGACATAAAATTTCTAAAAACGGACTGAAACTACCTGGTCAGGCTATCACTTGTTTTCATAATCACTGATGACAGATTTTCCAGAGGACATGGAGCAATTTTTTTCTCATGAAATTAGTTCCTCTTGTTGTAAATCTAAATGTGATTGGCTGATTTCACTGTCTCTTCCTAAGAGTCTTTGTTGGTGGTGAGTTGGTTGTGTAGGGCCTTCAGTTCAGTTCTAAAGTCCAGTGGGAGAGGCCGCTTGGCTGTAGTTACCTAAATACCAGAGGAAAAACAATTGTGATTGAATTTTCTGTTGGGCATTTTAAGATTTTAACCCTTTGTTTCCAAAAGAAACAATACAATAAGTGTAGGACTACGATACTTGCAACGTTTAAATACCTCAAGCCTCAATAATAATACCTCAATAATAAAAATGAGTAAAAAATGACATGTATTTTATAATTCTTGTAAATAATTAGCTTTTCTCTTGTTAACAATAGTTCCAATATGGAGTTACTCTACACAGCTGAATAATATATTGGTAAAATCTCCTTATTTGTGTCATGTTACTGACATTAGGGACCCTAAAATTAAGAAGAGCATTACTTCATTAATAGTCTACTAGCCGTGCTCTGTAGGCGACCCTGCCAGTGTGTAGTGATACCAGAGGAGGGTAAAGTTCAGCAACCTCTCTGCTGGGCTTTAGTTACATTTAGGACATCATATGCCTTCAAGGGGTGGGGGGTGTTTATTATCTAATTAACTAATTCTTTAGTGATATTAAGCTGAAGTTGGCTATTCACCAGCTTTTTGTTAGAATTTTCCCATTCCACCTTAAATGGAGCAGTAGTTACATTCTGGCGCCTTAGAAGTCAGTACTACTGGACTATTTAAGGTGGAACGGGAAATTAGCTAGCTAGCGACTGAGAAATCATAGTATCAGCATACTATTAGCGATTTTTTATGCTTGTTATGAAGAAAACGACCATAATACGTTGAAACGACATTAAACTAAGATAATACAGTGGTTATCGTAACTTTAACAGAGAAAAATCTCACTTTTGTGGGTCTCTTTGGTCGCTTGTTTTTTTTCATAACACTCTATTTAGAGTGTGCCTCTGAAAAACCTCCGTTTGGAGGGTCAAGTAGCCCTAACACTTCACCTTACCCCTCTATCTCAACAAAAACCCCTAGACGTGAACACGCAAAACAGAGTGCTAAGGGCTAAGCGATAGGGTGTGAGGGGTGACATAGGATTGGGCCCAAGACTTTGTGTCCAAAATGAATAATTCTGTCACCGCTTTGAATTATGGCTACTCAATATTGATGCTTAAGTCTGCGGTGCATAGTTATTGACTCCAATACTGCACAATCATCTGACTTTACTAATGTGCAGATCTCCTGAACAAAGAATGGAGCCTAGTTAGTGAAACCAAGAGGTTGTTGTAGCGAGTTAGAACTGATTGATTGCAAGCAGTGGTGGACAGTAGCCGGCATGTGGGGGACTGGGGTCTGTTAGTACCTCTGATAGCACTACTTATGCAATTTTACCACCGTGACTCATGGATAACTACGATAACTTAATAATAGGCTTCACACATTACATTAGAGGACCATTTTGAAACACAGCAATAATGAGGAAACATGAAAATTATGCTGTCATTTGTTTTAATTCAAGGTAATGTTTGTATGGAAGCCCATAAGATCCTAGTTGCATCACTGGATGCAAGTGTCCCTGTTCGAGTTCATGACTTGTTGTGGACAGTAAGCTCATAACACTATGATGCTGACTGCACTGCGGGAGGTGGCTTATTTTTTATTGCTGTGTTATTGATTCATTTCTCTGAGAACAGACAACATTCAGCCTAAACCCTTCGTTCAGACTTGGGGGTGAAATGAAAGTTTACTATAATTGAATTCTGGGACTGAAGACCAGACAGAAATGCTGACTGCCTTGACACACTGCCCATTGAGTAACTTTCCATCTGGTCTGATTTAAAGCCTAACTGAGATTTACAATCACCGTTTTAATGTTATGAAGTGCAAATCCAGTAAAACAGTAGATGCTTTATGAGTGACATTCCAAACCATTAAGCAGTTTTGAGACTTGGTTTGTAACATGGGACAGAGTTTTAAGGGCCTTATTAAAGCTGTAATCTGCTCACTTTAGAACAAGATTTGTTTAAATGGCCTGTTTTAACCAATATTGATTTTTGGCCTCAGAAATTCAGTTTGAATGAGTATTACTGTTGTACCAATAAAATCACACCTGAAAGACCGAATTTTAATATGTCAAAATTAAATATCTACATTTTTTCCACTAGTAAAGAATGTAATTTTTAATTGAATTGGCACAAGAGAAAATTAAACTGTCCCTCCACATAAAATTTACTTTTATTATGTAAAAACTAAAAGTCAGGTTAAACTAAATTAATCAAACAACACAAAAAAGAAACAATCAAGCCAACTTCAAATCAATTTCAGGACAGCTGATTTTTTTTCTTTTTTCTGAAATCAGAGTAGGTCCCAAAACCCAAAAGAGATGTCAGGAAAAGCCTTTTTTTGCATTCCATTGGCTTTTAGTCTAGCTAGCCGTTCTCCATCCAGAAAATCAATCCAAATCATTTCCATGGAGACAATAAAGGCAGAAAGGCGGCACTGATTGAAAATAATATTCCACTGGGCTTTTCAATTCCAGCCAGAGTGAAAAGCTCTCACCTCTTTTGACGCAGTAATGGCTTCCATTGAAGGTGTGCATTTGAGAGCTATAGCCTCTTCATTTAGGACACACACTGCATTAACGTTACACTATTACCATTAATATTAAAGCAAGACTGAAGGCACTCAACCTGAAATCCAGAAACATGTCATTACACGTGAATCTGGTTCCATAATTGCAGTCTGAATGTCTAATTTGGGTCACAGTTAGGGGTAAATAACACTAGCATGCATGAATTGACCCCAGCATTTCTTTCCACAGGAATGAAATGTGTTCTCATTTCATACTTATTACTGCTGTTTGCATGCAGTTAAACGGCAAAAGAGTTATATTGCGAGAGCAAAACTGTTACTTCAGGCTACTTTAAGGCTACTTTAACACCAGTGTTGAAAACATTCCAATATTTGCAGTTGTTTATAGACTGTCTAAGAACTGACAAGCCAAATGAACCAGAGTGAATGGGGAGAGAGAACAGAACAATCTAGAATAGTGTAAACAGATGAGAACATTTTAGAACAGGTGCATGGGCAGAACAAGCGGGAGAACATCCTGTAACAGTGTGCATGTAGAGAACATTCTATAGCAGTGTAAATAGGGGAGAACTTTCTAGAACAGTGTGAATGGGAAGACATTCTAGAGTCAAGGAAATGCAAGTATTGCACACCAACCAGACGTTTCTGTTCAGTGGTTTTTGTTTGATCAGTGCTCTGGCCTTTAGACTCCATACAGCTACACACAAAAACATTCAAGAACAGTGTGAATGAGGGAGAACATTCTAGAACAGTATGAGTGAGGGAAGAACATTCCAGAACAGAATGAATGAGTTACAACTTTCTAGAATGGTGTGAATAGGTTAGAAACGTGTGAGTGGAGAAGAACACTCTAGAACAGTGTGAATGAAGGAGAACATTCTAGAACAGTGTGTGCATGTGGAGAACATTTTAGAACAGTGTGAATATGGTGAGAACATTCTAGAACAGTGTGTATAGGGAAGAACATTCTAGATCCATGCATGGAACATTAAAACAGTGTGAATGGGGAAAAGATTATGTAGAACATGTTTAGAACACTCTCAAACATTATGCATGGAGAGAACATTCTGTAACAGTGTAAATGGGGGAGAACATTTTAGAACAGTGTGAATATGGTGCGAACGCTCTAGAACAGTGTGAATGTCGGGAGAACTTTCTAGAACATATGAACGGGGAGAATATTCTAAAACAGTATGAATGGGGAGAGCATTCTAGAACTGGGTGAACAAACAGAGTTCTAGAGCAGGACTCCCCAAACTTTATGTCTTGGCCAAAGTGGAATGCTTGGGGTGGACAAAGACGAAAAGACAAAACAACATAAAGACGGTAGGTGATCACAAAGTTTTTATACTGTACTAAAATAAAACTTTAAAAAGTTAAATAAGATTTTAATAAGTGGATTTAATAAGTCATACATGGTTTATTCTTTCATTGGGTAATGATTCAGGATTAGGGTAACTTTGTGGTGGCCACACAATGTTCTCATGGGCTGCAGGCCTCACTTTGGAAAACCCTGTCTACAGAATCAACAATCACACAAGTAGTTACTAACTGGTAATGAAACCTTACTGTACACGTCTGGCACACCAACCAACCAAGCGTTTGGACTCGTTGGTGACTGTTGGGTCAAGGTTCCTTTTTTGATATTGATTTTGATTTTATGAGGAACCTGGAGCATTTGGGCCAGTAATGGTAACTGAGCAGTGGCTCATGTTTCCCTGCTATATCCTTTCTGCTCATTCCTGTTTAGAACTACTACCTCCAGACAGAAATCTACAATTAATGACGTATTTATTATACTCCAGAAGAGCAGACTGTTTAGAAGACTGTGCTGAATATGTAAATATCTGCTTTCTATTCATTTTACTGTATTTGTAACCATATTGAAACACGTTATATTTCTCCTCAATGCTAATCTAGGTGGATTTGGTCTCTTGTACAGATTACAAATGAATATGTATCGGTATCCCTATAGCTAATATACAAAATACATTAATAGCATAAAGTACTCAAATACACATTAATTTAACACACCATCCACCTATAAAATCACACAAAACACTGCAGTTTCAATTACTATTTAATAAAATCTTACTTATCGACCCCTTACATAATATGAACCACAGACAGACAGTAAACAGGGTTTTAATATTACTAAAATAACCAAAAACAGGTTTAAGGCTTAGTATAAGAACACAGAGACAATGTAAAAATATTGGGTTAAAAAACAATAATTAAAAAGGAAACAGCTGTAAGTGCATCTAAATAACAGAAAAATAGGCACACATTCACATGTTGGCTCTGAAACCACTTACAGATCCTTACAAGCCTCAAAATTGAGTAATGCCTCCAAAACGGGCCTGACTTCAACATTAAAAACCAAAACTCACAATAAGCACACTGATCTGCCAGAAGAAATCTTTCAGAAGTCTGATTCAGTTCAGCAGCCAGACGTGTTCTAATCAGAGCGGAAAAAAGGATCAACAGTGAGCCTCGACAGTGGTTTTAAAAAAGCTTTAGGAAAGTGTTTTTTGTGAAGACTGCAGCAGTGCACCGGTCACCACATCTGATCAGGGTCACCACTTTTTCCAGCCTTCATTTTTCAATTTTCAAGTTTGAAAGAATAAAGTGTATTACTTACAGTTCTGAGCATATAAATCCCTTAAACACAGTCTTCCTTCACTTTTGTTTCTGGAAATCTGCTCTCTCTTTGCCTGGTACATTCAATTCATGTTTGTAGTGAAGAAGCTAAAGGCTTCCAGATGATCATACATCAAACTACTTAAGAGTTCTCAACTAGGCTCAGTTTTTCCACACAATTAGAAGAGCAGAAAAGGTTCTTACAGCACTCTTACCCTGAGAGGTGTTCTGTTTATAGCCCAATGTGGACTGTACTGTGCTGTACTATACTGTGGAGGGAAACCCGACTTGCCCAACCCAGCTAATGAATCAGTCTTCAGACATCATCAGTGACATTTTAAAGCAAAGCATTGGCCAAAAAATTTAATTTACTCAAATACAAATTTAAAAATGCAACTGATCAGCCAAGACAATTTTGGTGTGTAAATTTTCTACTTTAGTTTTGCACTGGAGATAAAACGCTGACAAACAACGAAACTTTCAGCCACATGTTAGCATCATGCAAACTGCTAGCCTAAATCATCACTCACTTGCCCCAAACAGTAGCCACCTTTACATACAGCCTAATAATCCGTTACCAATCCGACTAACAGCTCAATTGGGACAGAACACATCCATGTACACACCTCATTTGGAATAGGCTAGTCTGATTGAGTCCTTTCGGAATCCAATTTCTATCCAATTGAACGAGGTGGGTAATCCTGTAAATAATCAGTTAAATAGAAGAACAATAACCATGTTAACGCCTGTATCCGATTACATTCCCAATCGGGCATTTTAAGTACGTTCTGCACATGTGCGTCGCATCATAGCGGAAGTTTATAACGTTCAACATGGCGGGAGCAGAAACTGGTCAGCAGAGGAGACGTTTAAAAGACGGCGGTGGGACGGGCGTCCAGTTTATGTGTCTCAGAACACGACGTCTTCCTCTCGGCCTTCTTTAATAAGGACATGTGAAGGACGTTTTCCTGAGTCTGACATCATTTTAAAGACAACTGACACAATTAAAAACACAAGCACTGCTCACTGCTGCTCGTCTCACTCTGACTGGACTCACGTGATGCTCGTTGTCAGGGTAGCGCCTACACTTTGGTGGTTCTCTACGCATGTGCATAATTTTGGATAAGATTACTTGTAGTATGCATGTAAACGGAGACTTGCCATCAGATTGTTGAGTAGAGTGAGATATAAACACCCCAGTCTTAATCTACAATTCGCATGTATTCAGTCGGATTGGCAAAAATCTTTGCATGTAAACACAGCCAGTGTTGCTAAGTAATCTCAAACAGACTTGCTTATGTTGTTTCTGACACTTTATGACATACTGACATCTATAAAAATGGACAAAAGTATATCATATAGCATCTGTATACATTCCCTTTAATTTTTTCCTAATGAGGCAACCCATGTGAGCAGTGTTAGCACCAGGTCCACAGGCTGGCTGTATCAATGTAACCTACGAACATTTTCTACATGTTAATTAGGTGTGTAAGTTGCATAGCTAAAAATAGTAGTAGCAGCCATCTTGAACTCTGAATGTTGTCTGTATTTCAGTCCATTTTTTAGATAACCGTATGTCATACAATGTCAGGAAGCACATACAGTTTCAGCATGCAGTACACAATGCTAACAGTTAAAGGTGGATAAAAGGTTTCACTGCTTGTTGGCTTTACTGGCCTTGTAGCTCCAGTGCAAAACTAAAGAATCAAACTCCAGACACCAGTCAGGTCTTGGCTGATTGACTGCTTTTGGGGTAAGGAAAAGTTCTGTGTAAATATGATTTTTGGCCAAACATTTAATATTATAGGCAGGATCTAAACTCTGCCAAATGGTGGATCTCCAGTTAGGAACCCCTGCTGCTTGTCCTGTGCTGGGTTTTAGTTACTTCTTCCTCTTCAGAAAAGCTTTGGCCTCCTTCTGCAGCCGTTTAATGTCCTCTTTCCCACTGTCATCTGACTCGGGCACGTAGTCAGAGTCTTCATCCACTTCCTCTTCCTCACTCTCATCATTAATGAAGCTGTTCTCATAGCGGTCTTCATCATCATCATCTTCATCATCTGGCGCAGACTTCTTTGCTGCAGAGCCAACAAGTGAAGCAATGTCAGAGAATAACAATGAATGATTTTACTACCAGAAATACTGTATTAGAGAATTAACTATTAAGTCCAATCAACAATGCTAATAAGACTAAACACAAATGCAAACTAGAACTGTGACAAAAAGGTATTTATTATTTATTACCAACTTAAACTCTAAGCCTGTTATTAAGTTACTAACCTTAAGGCTTATCATTAAATACTGGTAAATACTAAAAACGATTCAGTAACTACTATGAAACTGTAACTGGCCATCGTTCCTTGGATTTTAAAGGTGCAGTGTGTAAGATTTAGGGCCATCAATTAGCAGAAATGGAATACAGTATACAAAACCATGTTTTCATTTGTGTACAATCACCTGTAACTACAAATCATTGTGTTTATGTTAGCTTAGAATGAGCCCTTCATATCTACAAAGGGAGCAGGTCATCTTCCAACAGAGGCTGCCATGTTGCACCACCACATTTCTACAGTAGCCCAAACCAAACACTGGCTCTAGAGAATGCCTTTCATGTTTTTATATTGAAGCCGCAGCTTGAATTTGGTGGCGCTATAGCACCAGTTGGAGGACGCAGAAAAGAGAATGAGTGGTTGCTGCCGGTGCTGACTAACCATTTTGTGTTGCGACTTTGAGAACCCAAATTCTGACAAATGGAGGATCATACTTATTATTTAGCACAAGAAAAAGTGAGGAAGGGTAAATCTGTTAAAGAAGCGAAAACATATGGCAACCATAGGTTCTACCACAAGCTTAGAAAGGGAGGGGGATTCAGCTGGTTGCAATCAGCAACCTCACCACTAGATATCACTAAATCTTACACACTGCACCTTTAAGGGCTTAAAGCATTAGGTTATTATATTAAAAAAGTAAACAACATTCAGGTTTCATGATTTGCTGCCCCTACTGTTTTTAGCAATTTGTTTTACTTTTGCTATTTCAGTAGAAAAAAGTATGTATTCAGTGTCAGACGTGACTATTTAAAATTACTTAATGTGGTGATGATACAGGCATGTTAATGGGTGGCTAATAAGTTTCCATTAACTGTTAGCTACATTAGCCTCACAGCTTCAGTCAAGTTTAATTAAGTAAGTACACGCATAGCTAAAAACACGAGTGGCGTCCAGCTTGAATTGTATCTGTATTTTTGTCCATTTTTACAGATACAGTATGTAATATAATCTCAGGTACATAGTTTATCTATATAGTTTGTAGATACAGTGTAAATGTATTTATTAAGGTTTCCTCCTTGATGTTCTGAGGATTTAGTCATGCTAACATGTTAAGTTTCCATTACATGTAAGCTACTTTTTCCTATTGCTTCACTTAGTCTGTCCACTTTTACAGGTAACAAAATGTCATGCAATGTCTGAAACAACATCACACAAGTGTATTTTAGATTACTGACCAATGGAATGTGATTATTTAGGCATGCTATTAGGTGGCTGTGTGTTTCTATTACTTGTTAGCTACATTAGCCTACAGCTTCAGTTCATGTTAATCAGGTGGGTACATCACATACCTAAAAACAGTGGTATCTTGAAGCTTAAATTTTGTCTGTTTTTGTCCATTTTGATAGATAACAGTGTGTCATACAGTGTCAGAAACAACAAAGTCTATTCAAGATTACTTCACAACTTGACATAATGATTTATGCCAATAGGTAGCAGTAAGTTTCCATTATTTGATCTACATTAACCTCATAGCCTCAGTTAATGTTAGTAAAAATGCCACATAAAGTATGTCACTAAAAATAGCAGCATATTGAACCCAGAATTTTGTTTGTATAGATTTTTTTAATAGATAAAAGGATGTCAGTGTCAGAAAGCAAGTCTATTTGAAATTACTTAACACTGTTTGAGGCAACTAAGAATGCAAACAACACGTGACTGTCTAGATTTGACGTCAGAGGGAAAAGTGTAAATCAGATTACATCAAATTGAAGTGAAACTGCATGAATTATATCCATCCGTGTGAGCAGTGTGGTTGTTTTCTCCACACTGCCTGTGTGAATGTGCTGTGGTTATTTCTAAGTGTTTAATTAGATCAGCAGCATCTGCCTCCAGTGGGGCCTGTTGATTAGCCATGAATCATAATGTTCACGCAGGCCTGTGCCATCTGTGGCCCGAGCACATTCCACTTTAATGGACCTGTCTGCTGTATAATGTAGAAGAATGCTAAATCTATTATTTATTCAAAAGGACTGCATTTTTATCTGGGGCAACTAATGCACACATTGGTTGCTTAGGTTTATTGTAAGAGATGGCGAAGGACAGGGTAAATTGAGTTTGGGCATATGTGCATTTGTGTGTGTTTGAACCATTAGCTCTGCCATCAGCCTTTTTCATTGTGTTTGCCAGTGTGTGTATATGCACTTGTGTGTGTGTGTAAAGACTTCAAAGACATAAGACTGACTTTAAAGACACAGAGCAGCCTGGTATGACTCAAGGTTAGACAAGTGAGATTACTCCAATACTGAGAAGCAGAACCACTGAGCATTTTTGAAGCTGGATGTGCGCGAGTGTGAGACACAACCACATTTACACGGAGCCAAAAGGGAGATTTTCTCGCTCTGCAGTCATTAGAGTCATTAGTTTAATCGGGACTGGGCCTCCTTTTTAATGTTTTCAGGTTTTTTTGTCTTTTTAAATGTTCTTCTATATCAGAGCCAAACGCAATACAGTTATTTGGACACAGGTTTCCCCTATAACAGAAAAACGATATTCTTCAGAAAAGAGTTACAATTATGGGTGTAAAAATGCAACAAAGAGTTGATTAATTAAAGTTAGTGCTTATAAAAAGCTTTTTAAGACCTCAACAAAGAAAAAATAACATTATGCACACAGCCAAACTACCTACACAAACTCAGATATGGCACGTATTAATGGCTGTTTTATTTAAACTGATTGGTTCAAAATCAATCAAACCCACGTCCTTCTTGCTGTGAGGCAACACACTGTGCCACCATGCCGCCTGGTTTTTAGATCAGATTTTTTTTTAATACATGCAGTGGTACATGCAGGGTGTATTGATTGCACATCTTTTCTGTGTTTTTTATCAGTTCTGCCACCCTCGAGCCCCTCATGGTTGGTCAACTTCTGACCACACGAACAACAGCAGCTGAATATTTTTGGTTGGCAGACTAATGTGAATTAGGTTAATGTATACAACTCTTTTCAACCTGCTCTTTTGCACCTCTAACATCATAAGACATTTTCAGTCATTTTATGACTTTCGGTTTTAAGGGGAACCCTCCATCAGTGCATCGTGAAGCTAGACTCGATTATTTTCAATAACAGTAGTAATCAATAAAATAAGTGCTCGTCATGGCCATAAGCAGCAGGGGGACACCAATGTCTAGACCTCGGCTGTTTTGAAAGGGTTTTCTGAGATTTAATGTGGAAACAACGATGAGACCACACGGACAGTAGTGACGGGTCCTCAGCTGACCTCGAAACAGATGTGGCTTGGCTGACTTATTGGGGAATTCCCCTGATTATTTAAACTTTCTGCATAACGAAATCAAGATGTAAACAGTGCCATTCAGAGTGATTTGATGTGAAATGCCCCGTTCTAAAGAAACTTACCGAGCCAGAATTGTTCACAGTGATGATGATAGGAACCAGACGTATATAAAAATACTTTTAAATACAAAAATCCAAAAAACTCATTACCGTCTATGATCCACTACTGTGTAAATAGTTCCTCCTGTTATGTTTGTGTATTCAGTGTATTTTTAACAATCATTCTGAACCGTACCAAAATGGCGAACTTGGAAATTTCCTATTGCAATGAATCGTTTCCTAAAAAAATCATGATTAAAACGACACGTTATGAGGTCAAAGATTCACAACCTCTACTGGCAGTGTAATTTATTCAAAGGAATATTAATGAATGCTAAAAATGCTAATGAGTGAATGAAAGCCCAGAGAGCAGTTGGCAATATTAATGCTCAACAAGAATCATGTGCTCAATCACCTGGCTACTAGCTTCCGTTCATGGTAGAATTTACTAGTGGAGTATTCCTTTAATCTTTGTGGGAAAAACTGGCTCAAAAAAGACAGGATGCTAGCCTTAGCTACCAAGTACCTAAACCAAGCCATTGTCTTACTTTTGGTTCGTCAAGAGCCCATTTCCTTGTTTATACTTATTTCAATCAGGATATCAAAAGGAAGCCAGCATACGCTCTGAGCTACTCCACCCTCTGGTCTAGAAGCTAAGCTTTGTGCACAGTGGGTATTAATCATAGGGGCTGTGGTAATTACAGTCCACTGAGGGGCCACTCAAAACCCTGCTGTTAAGGCTGCCTGATCAATGCTGTTGCTTAAAGCTTCAATTCAATGTTATTTAAATGGCCATGCAGTGACAGGGAGACAGAAAGAGATGGAAAGATGTGTTGTTGCCATGGTGTTTTTTTTCCACTTCTTTCTCTTATTCTTAGGTGGTTCTTGTTTGGAGGGTGTGTGAGGGATATTGGGTTGATCTTGGGTTCATATTTGCCATGCACTGCACATAATGTTTTTTACAATGCATTACATTGTGTCAGTGAGAAATACAAACCTGGGGGTTGTGTGTGTTTGTACTCTTTTTTGTGTAGAGGATTCTTTCTGGAAAGAAAAAGACAGGGACAAAATAGTTTTAAAGACATCTGGAAAAGTTTTCAGAAGAGATAACCACCTGGTAAAAGACATTGAAATATGGGTTGACAGCGTTTAGAGCCTTTACTTGTTAACTTATTCTTTTAATTAATTCATATTCCAATTACTTTTGATGCTCTAAACTAAAAGTGGCAAAATTAACTCTCTGGAGTAATATCATTAGAAAACAAATTAAAAAAACAACAAGGTATTTCATCTCAAAATGATAATGCTGCACTAAAGTTGGAAGGAACCTATGGTTAACAGCTAGTTGCAGACTGTGATGTACTTTCAGAGAAAATTGAGAGTTACAAAGAGCAATTAAAAAAAAATCAATATTGCTTGAAACACATTTGATTTTACCACTGGTTAACACAATTAGTAACTAGAATTTTTCACTACCTCACTTCCAAAAACATTGGGACACTGTGCAAAATGTGAATTCAAAAAATATAATTATGAGCAAATCATTTAAAATCTATATTTAATTGAAAATAGTACATATATAACATATCAAATGTTGAAACTGAGAAATTTATTGTTTTTGAAAAATCTATGCCCATTTTGAATTTGATGTCAGCAACATGCTTCAAAAAAAGTTGGGACAGAGGCATGTTTACCACATCGCCTCTTCTTTTAACAACACTCTGTAAGTGGGAATACATGGTATCAAATATTTGGGAGGAGACCAACTGCTGTGGTTTTGAAAGTGAAATGTTTACCCATTCTTGCTTGATCTAGGGTTTCAGCTGCTCAACAGTTCAGGGTCTACTTTGTTGTATTTTTCATTTCATAATGCACTAAATGTTCTCAATGGGTGACAGATCTGGACTGCAGGCAGGCCAGTTTAGTGCCTGGACTGTTTTACTTTGGAGCCATGCTGTTGTAATACATGCAGAATGTGGTTTGGCATTGTCTTGCTGAAATAAGCAAGGCCTTCCTTGAAAAAGATGTCTGGTTGGAAGCATATGTTGCTCCAAAGCCTGTTTATATCGTTCAGTATTGACGGTGCCTTCACAGACGTGCAAGTCACACATGAGATGTATATTAATGCATCCCTTACCATCACGGACGCTGGCTTTTCAACCGTTGCCGCGGTGTACACGATTTCCAATGTTTTGTTGTCCTTGTCCCAATTTTTTTGAAAAGTCTTGCTGATATCAAATTCAAAATGGGCATATACTTTTCAGAAAAAAAAACAAAATTTCTCAGTCAACATATGATTTGTTGTCTGTGTAATATTTTCAATTAAATATGGGGTTTAAATGATTTGCACATCATTGCATTCTGTTTTTATTTACATTTTGCCCAGTGTCCCAACTTTTTTGAAAACAGGGCTGTATATAAAAAGTTCTGAACACTTCAGATGCTTTAGCCTCAGAAGTAACTCCTGCTGTTGCTGTGCTACAGAGACTGCTGCTTAAAAAGACAGACTGGGGTTCAAGCCTATTAAATGTACTTATGACAAGAACCACAATTTGCTTTCTTCCACTGTAGCGCTGCTTGACTAAAGGTAATTAAAGTAGCATAGCTACTTCATTTAATATAGGCTAGATTTTAATGATTTAACTGTTAAAGTGCATTGTGCTCATTTGCACTAACAGCTACTTAATTCTAAGTAGGTTACTCAGCATGGTATCAGACTCAGTATCGGCACGTACTTAAAAATATGTACTCGTACACGTACTTGGTCTGAAAAAAAAAAAAGAAATGGTATGGATGCATTCCTAACTTGAAGTGATCATAATCTTCATTAATAGTCTTCTGATTGGTCATTTATGAAGCATGTTTCATGAAGTTGAAATAGCTGCAACTCGTGGCAGTTTTAAACAAGTTTCAAGCGAGCTGCAGGAGGCTTTACTGCAGCTTACTTAAAGCCTCCTGTATGCAACGAAAGTGGAATTTAGTTTAATGGCAGTTGCATAAAATTTTCACCATATAAAGCCAGCCTTAGCATCAGCTGGGAGAACAGCTAGCATTTTCCCTTGTTCACATTTCTGAGTGTGACATTCCATTAACAATACTCACCTATAGCAGTCAGTCCCATAAGGGCACTCAGGCCGATCATCATCGTCATCCTCATTGCCGTTACTTTGCTCTTCCTCAAAGTCATCATCTCCTGGGTGACTACACTCTTGGAAATGGACTGGATTTTTCCTGGTAAAAAAAAAAAGAACCCTGCTTTCAAACTGCGTAGAAAAGATGTCAAGGCAACAACATACAATACACAATTCAAATGAAGCGCATTTACTGATGAAATCAGAATAATTAACACAGATTATGCTAAACACAAAAAACAGAGTATTCACTCTATGCACACAGAATGCCTTATTATTTTACCAGTTGACACATTCTGAACTGTTTACTTCAGAAGGCCTTTTCATTTAATTGCATTCTGTTTTGACTTTTATGTGTCAGTAAGGTAGTTAAGCAACATGGAAAGAACCAAAGGCAACAGTCTGGAAAAAATGTCTGAGCAGGTGCTTGATCAGTTGAAAGTACATCCAGCTCTTGTCATCGTGTTCACGGTTTTGCGCTTAAAGAGAGTAGTCTGGTGAAATAAATTACATATGATCACAACAGTGACACTGCCAGGGGTAATGTGAAGAGAGGTGATCCTTCAGCTGCTTTCTCAATCAAAAGATCTTAAAAAGATCATTTAATGGATAAAAGATGCCATATAAGATTGTAGCCATCTCCAGAATCCCCTTTTATTTGAGGAGAATTTACCTTGGGCTAAACTAGAAACTATTTAGTGTTCTTTATCTGTTAGCATTTGCAATAAAAGAAAAAAAAAATAAAGTAACTAGAGATAAGAGTGAGTGTAACACTGGAGGTTTCCTGATATCACAAATAAAACCATTTAGACAGACTGAATTTAAATGATATGATTTCTAACTAAAACCAAAAAAAGGGACAAGGGCTTCAAACTGAATTAAAGAAATCAAAGCAGTTAGCCAAGACGTGTTTGATGTCTGAAGTTTGCTTCTTTAGCTTTACAATGGAGCTAGAAGACCAACAAGTAGTTTGAGCTTACAGCCAGCAGTTAACACTGTCCACACTGCATGCCTAATTAATCACACCTTTTCCTCAAATAGCATCGAGTTGTTGAATTGTACAACATGGCTATTCAAAGCCGTTTACAAAAAATTTGGGATGCTGTGCAAAATGTAACTAAAATCAGAATGCGATGATGTTCAAATCATTTAAACACTATATTTAATATAAAAATATATGCCCATTTTGAATTTGCCAGCAACATGTTTCATAAAAGGTGGGATGGAAGAACAAAAGACTGTAAAGTGGCATCAGGCTAAAAAAAACATTTCACAACTAATAAAGTTAATTGGCAACAGGTCATTAACATGACTAGGGTATTAAAAGAGTCTTTCAGAAGTAAAGATTGGGAGGGGTTCACCACTCTGTTAAAGACTGTGCGGACTAATAGTGCAACAATTCAAGAATCTCAAGAAACGTTTCTCAACATAAAACAGCACAGAATTTGGGGATTCTTTTTGGAAATCATGGATGCCGTGTCCTCCGGGCTAAAGAGGAGAGGGACCATCCGGCTTGTTATCAGCACAAAGTTCAAAAGCCAGTGTCTGTGATGGTGTGGGGATGGATTAGTGCACATGCCATAGGCGACTTGTACATCTTGGAAGGCACCATTAATGCTGAACGATATAAACAGATTTTGGGGCAACATATGCTGCCATTGAGACAACGTCTTTTTCAGGAAAGGCCTTGCTTATTTCAGCAAGACAACGCCAAACCACATTCTGCATGTATTACAATAGCATGGCTCTGTAGTAAAAGAGTCCTGATAACCCACTGATAACATTTGGTGACTTACGGGAAAAAAAATAAAATAAATAAAATAAAACCCTGAGACCCCGAACTCTTGAGCAGCTGAAATCCTGTATCAAACATTTCACTTTCAAAACTACAGCAAGTGGTCTCCTCCGTTCCCAAATGATTACAAAGTGTCATTAAAAGAAGATGTAATGCAACACAGTAGTAAACACTTCTCCGTCCCAACTTGAAACGTGTTGCTGGCAGCAAATTCAAAATGGGCATATATTTCCTCGGTTTTAACCTTTGATATGTTGTCTTTGTACTACTTTCAATTAAACGTAGGGTTTAAATGATTACATCATTGCATTATGTTTTTCTTTACATTTAGCACAGCGTTCCAACTTCTTTGGAAATGGGGTTGTATGTGGACACTCCTACTTTGTGTTTTCTGGCTATTTAGACAAATGCTGGCAGTAAAATGGGCTTGTACTATGTGCCTGAATGCACAATGCAAACTGTGAAGTTTGGCAGAGGAGGAATAATATCCTGGTGCTTTTTTACGGCTGGGTCCTTTAGTTACAGTAAAGACAAAGTTTAATGTGCCAGTGATGATATTTTAGTAAACTGTGTCATTAAAACTTTGTGGAACAGTTTGGGGAAGCTCCTTTGCTGTTTCAGCATGACTATACCCCTGTGCAAAGCAAGCTCCACAAAGAAATGGTTTTGTGTGAAAGAACATTTGGCCTGCATAGAACCCAGACCTCAACCCCATCCAACACCTTCAGGATGAAATGGAAAGCCAACTGCTAGTCAAGCTTAAATCATCCAACATTAGTTTTAACCTGACTAATGTGTTTGAATGAAAGTCCCTGCAGCCATGTTCCAAAATTTAGTGGAGAATCTTCCCAAAAGAGTGGAGGCTGTTACAGCAGCAAAAGGGGTACTAATCCCGTATGAGCGGTTTTGGAATGAGATGTTACCAATTAATGGTTAACGCTGTTTTATTGTTTTGTTTACATTTGTATTGTATAGCATTGTGATACATTTGAACTGAACTGAATTATAATAAATAAATGCACATGGATGTGATGTTTCAGCGTCCACATACACCAGGGGTGCTCAGTCTTTTCCAAGGAAAAAGAAAGACAACAATAAAAATAACCATAACAACAATTATAATAATAAAAAAAACACTCAGGTGTGCCCTTGTTTGATTAGAATGTAAGCTTGGCCCTTTCCGGATAAGACCGGGCACTCCTGACTTACACTATATAGCCAAACATATCTACAATAAACCTGCTTATATGGTTTCTGACAGTGTATGATGTACCGTTTTCCTTGAAGTCTCATTCTATTGTGAAGCTGTGTAAATTAGAATTTTTACTGAACTACCGCTTTATGACATGTTTTGTACCTGTAACAGGAGGCGCCATAGGGACAAGGTGTCCGGCGCTGAACTCTGGGCTTGCTGCTGCTGGAGCTGATTTCCGAAGAACTGGTCTTTGCGCTCTGCTTTCCGTTCTGCGAGGGCAGCTTTTTGACCTCTGAGTTTCCAGAGTCTCCTGCCTCTGCGGTTGAACCTCCAGCCCTGGACCTCGGAGCAGCCTCTGCTCTCTTCCTTCCTCTCCCTTTCCTCTCTTCTTCAGAGTCTTCGCTGAGTCTGTCCTCGAGTGACCTTTCTTGGCTTGGTTTTGGTGCAGGAGCTTGATCCTGTTAGAAAAGTCAAAGCTTTAATCACCTGCTCCTTAAAAACACTGCAGCACAATAATAATAATAATAATCGTCAGGCCTAAACAGATTTCAGTCCAGTCACCTTCAATATCAACCAAGATAACTCCAGTTAGGCCTGTGCCTGGTGTTAGTTAACCAAGTATGGAGGGTGAGATATTTCTGAGGAGACTACATATAAGATAATCCACTTGCATAAGGAAAGAGAGTCAAAGGAAAATTAGTTTCCAGAACTGCAGTTAGAAAAAGGATTAAAACATTCAGAAAAAGTGGGACTCCTAACAACCGTGCAAGACCTGGTTGACCACCAAAACTGTTACCATCAGATAATCAGTATTTTCATCTTGAGAGAGAGGAGTAAATCAAGTTCCACTCTTACTACAGATCTTATAGAACCAAAAATCCAACATTTCTTCTGAATCTAGGGTATTAATAGGAAGACTGTTCCCCATGTGCTGCAGTAACAGCCTCTACTCTATTTAGAGGGCTTTGCACTAGATGTTAAAACACTGCTGTGAAAATATAACTGCATTCAGCTACAAGAGTATTAGGTCAGGTAGACATTAGGGATACACAAAAAGAGGGTTTGAAATGTCAATTTTGCACAGCAATAGTGATATCATTATCATGTGACCCTAGTACTGATTTTGGATGATTAGCTCTGGATCACAAACGCCACTCCAACTCATCCCAAAGGTATGTGATGGTGATCCATCCACTCAGGAGAAAGCAGTTCCAAAACAGGTGCTGGGTCCATAGTGGGAGGTGCCAATTATGTATCTGGCTTGTTCAGGCACAAATTTAGCCCAGCCCATGCACCTGTTGTGCTAGGGATGCTGAGAACAGGAGAACTTCCATCAGAGCCAGTGGTCTCACCATCAGAAGAAAAGCAGTATGGGAAAGACTGAGACTTCCATGAAGTCCAGCAGAGACAGTAAAGACAGAATGACATGGAGAAAATTTACAACGGTATAAACCTTTCAACACTGCAGCAAAGCCACAAAGCCCCCTTGTAAGAAAATATTTCTGTAACACGGCTGGTATGCATGTGTTGCTGAAGCTGCAGAGCTGAAAGATGGTAGAGTTGGCTGAAGGTCTTCAGGTGATTATATTTAAATGATGAGAATTGGAAAGGTTTCCATATTACACATATTTGTATTTAATTACCTTCTATGCTCTCCACCACCCATCGCTTAACAGCAGTTATTGCATATACAGGTAGCCACATATGCTAACGGTGACACCAGCACAGGCTTTCTACTACTTTCTGAACGTGAATCACGATTATATCATTTACGCAAATATAATGCAGAAAATAATCATTTGTTTAAATTTACATTATCATCCAAGTTTACTGCTCATAGACTTGAGCAAATCCATGATGGCTCTAGTGCAACAAGTCAGCAATCAAACCTGTTTTCTTCCAACTGTACGTTTTCCATATTTATGTTTAGCTGCAATTACATAAACAGTTTTAGCCATTTTTCATGGCTGTCTTGGACTTTTGTACAGTACAACTGTATCTTTAGCTCTTAGTGTACCTGGCTCTCCTCTGTGTCACTGTTCAACTTCTTCAGTCTCTTTCTGGGCTTCTGTTCCACATCACTGGGCTCTTCGTCATCTTCTTCATCCTCCTCATCTCCTGATGAAATCTTTTTGGTTCTTGCCCGTTTGGGCCCTGTGGCTCGTTTAGACTGGGCTGCAGGTGCCTTTGAGGCAGAAGCTTGTGCTGGAGCTCGCTTAGTAGCTGCTGCAGAGAAGAACAGGAGAGCAAATAAGTCACATTAGGATCACATCAATAAAACAAAATAGTGCCTTAGTGTGATTATGAGAGATAAACAAACAAAGGCAATTCACCAGCAGGAAGTCAGTCATCTGTCTTTGCTCATAAATATGACCGATGGCTCTTTTAAAGGGGAATTCCAACGATTTAGATTTAATCATTCAGATATATGTCCAAAACTGAAAGCAGCTGTCTCGGAGGCAGTGTTGTCCACTGTGTCAGTGCTGAGGTTTTCTGCTACTTTTTTCTAACGTCGGTGTCGACACAAAGGATTATGGGAAATGCAGACAGTGTAGGAAACATCTACACTGCTTTCAAAAAATGGCTAAATGGAGGAACCTCAGCAGGCAGAGTTTTATACAAACATTAGATTTTTCCAGCCTTTCCAGGCCTTCCACCCTCAGGTTACTGTTTGAGTAGGCAGTGTTATTATTATGTTTCAAACACAGCCATAAACAAAGTAATTCAGACTGGTTTGATGTGAAATCGTTCACTGTGGAAAAAAATTACAGTCTCAGTTTTCTTTTCAGTGTTGGCGATGGGAACCAGGAGTCACGGTGTACAAAAATATATCCATTTTATGTACTATATAAAACCTACAAGTGTCCTCTGAGTTTTTATATGTAACATTAATGATGATGAAAGAATGATTTAAAAAGGAAAAAACTGTTTTCTTTGGGGATTATTTTGCATTTGAACGCCGTGCATGTACCACTGCCATACATTAATCCCTTTTAGGCCAAAACTATCTCAAAACTATCTCTAAACTTTCTCAGGCATCAAGCAGTGTATTTGTAACTAATTCATGTACTAACTTTCTGTGATGGACCACCACTGTGAGTAAGTTTTTCTAGACTGGAACGATTTCACAATAAAAAACTCTGAATTACATCATTAAAACATTAGAACAATGAACTCATTCTGAAAAATCAGTGGAATTCCTCTTAGAAGCCCTAATAACCCTTAGAACATATGTGTCAGGATTCAGTCCTGGCAGACCAAAACACTGCAGGCTTCAGCACGGTGCCTCATTAAACACACCTGATTCAGTTCATCAGCTAATTAGCAAGGCCGTCATGACCTGAATTCAGAGCGCTAGATGAGGGTAAACACAGCAATTTCACCTGGAAGGTCCCCAGTTTCACATGCCTGCCTTAGAAGTTTACAGTTTTTATAAGAAATGACAAAATGTAAGGATGTTTCTTTTTCAGCAAAAACATTCTTTAGATTTAAAATCTAATAACATATCTCCTCCTGAATACGTCCCTAACAGGACTGAATACTTCAACGAGCCACAACTGAGGAATAATTCATTTAAAGAGCGATGAACTCTCGACTTCAGCCTCTAAAGTTGATGGAGTTCACTCCACTTAATTACAACCTAAACAGCGTCAGGGCCTGTGTTAATGGGATACAGCATTAACCCGTAAGATTAAACCATACTAAATGTAGTTTACCCAATTTTTGGAGTAGCTACAGATTATTGTGATGTGATGAAAATTAATAGATTAGAAATTACTTACAGACTCAAAGCCTAAAAAATGATTATAGCTGAACGATTAATGTTTTAACATATCTTACTTTCAGCCCATTTCAACACAGTGACGGCTGAGTGGAAACCTGGAGTGATAAAAGTCCTGAGACAATTATTAGCGCAGTCAGAATCATGTGAAAAGGAATCATTATCAAATTCTTTTTCAATTCCTTGAAAAGCAACCAGGTATTCATTCTGGGGCAGTTGGACATCCTGCTCCTCTTTTCTCGAGGCTTCATATTCGCCAACTTCTTATTAGACCTTTCCGTTCCACCTTAAACGGTGCATGAGTTATCTTAATGCAGAATGAAACTGCAGCACCATTTAAGATGGAATTTAAAATTTGAGTAAGAAGCTGGCAAATAAGAAGCCAACTTCAGCTTCATCCTCTTTCCCACAACATGCTTTACTGTTTCCTTTTGTTTACTACAACCTTAGATCATGAAGAAAATGAAGAGTTGAGGTGCAGAGCGGTGCGGGACATATTGGAAACATTTTTGTGCTTACAGCAGCTGGTGAGTTGCATTGACATTGTTGAAGACCTTTTAATAATCCTTTAAACATCAAGGCAGGTCCAAACTTAAGAACTTAACAACTTAAGAATAAAATGTGCTTGCACTGTTTATCATGTTGTTACTGAAAACAAAGCCTTATCACGTAATTTGCCTGGGGTTAAAGGACACTTACACTCCCCTCTTGTACCAAAAAACATAAGTAACATTACTAATAATGAACAAATGCTATGAGGCAGCAGTCGGCACTACATAAAGACACTATAACGATTTAGCTTAAAATACATAAAAATAAATAAATAGTAGGCTTAATTTCTGGAAATGCCCTTTCTGTCTGGTTTGCATTTACAGTACTGTGCAAGGTTCCCTTTGCTGTAATTTTAAGAGAACAAAACAAAACCAAATAGCTCAATTAAAACAAGCTATGCCAGACTGATAAGACATTCTTCTGGAACAGAACAACCGGTTCCCATTAGCATTCAGTCACTGTCAGCCACACAAGGTTTTTATTGCTGAACAGTCGTTTATTGCACCTTTAAGAGAAATGAACAGGCCCTGATCATCACCGGTAGCAGCGCTTGGCAGTGTGAGGTGAGTTTAATGTTGCTTTAACGAGTCGCACAGGTGTTTCATTAGAGCAGAGAGAGAAAAGTGCAGCAGCGATCCAGACACTGATATACAGCGGCCGATTCTCTCCAGGGTAAAGCACTTATCATCGTGTGCGTGTGCAAACACTTGTCTGTCAGAGTACTAATAGGAGTCGCCTGTGCAGAACCTGTACCTGACCTAAATCAGCAGCTGCGATTTCCTTTCCACACGTACACACTCACATTTAAACCCAGCGGTCATTTGTATTAGATTTCAATAGTGCTTGTCCTGCTCTAGAGTCGGGTTTAGCCTTTTATAACCCAGTGAATATGATTTATAGGGTAGATTTCTATTTGTAGCACATGTTCCTTCTGCTGCTTTACTCACACTGCCAGAAACGACTCTATATTAAAGGCTAAATGAAGCTAAGCGATAAAACAACTGTCTTAACTCCACAAACTACAATAAAGTGACATATTAAATCGATCAGTTTGCAAAAAAAAGATGTCACTAACAGAGGAAAAAGAGTGATGAAAACAGCAGCCGACTAGCGATTAGGGAATTGTAGCTGGCCTTTGGTCAACTATTGCGAATAGTTATACAAATACAATTTAAGACATAACTTCCAGAAGATAGTCATGTTCTCACTTGCACTGTGTGCCTAAGTATGAAAGAGGCTACAAAAAGATGGGAAGAAAGGGAAAGAAAAAAAGTGAGCAGATAAAAGGTTGTAGCAGAGGCAAAAAGCACACAATGATTTTAAAGTTTTGAAAAATATCATCATAAATGAACACTTTACTGACAGTTAGTGCTGGGTGACATAGCATCATCTGTACTGCTATACCATGATTCTGATTTCAGTTTTAGATACATTTTGAGGGTATATTGATAGACAATCCATGATGTAAAATAGTTGTGTCCTGGTTGCCAAGCAGTTTTTATTTTTAATTCTATTTTACTTAACATGTTATCATGAGGTGGTATTACAGAAACACCCAACCTCTGAAATTTTATTTTATCTGTTTAGGCAACATGGCAACTTCAGTTAATTGAATTTAGGGCAGCAGCTATTACAGTTGATAAATCAGTCCTAACTTTATGATAAGCCCAATAGTGTTCTAACTTCTGTTTCTATCGTATTCAGGCAACTGTAAACAGGCAGCATAACAAGTTCACTATAACCAGCATAATGACGTTACATTTATTCATGCTGCAAAACGGTTGAGCTGTTTTTTTTCTGTGGTTACAAATCCCGGACACTGCAGGCATGTTCTCCACCATTCTGTCTTACTGTCTTCATGTGTTATTGTTGAAAACCCATCAAGCACGGTCGGCTAAAGCTTTGGGAAACAGAAACTAAAACGGGTGAGCGGCGATGCTCTGATAAACAGCACTAAGCGCTGTCGGAATACTCTTAACTTCCGTTTTTTTCCGGTCTTTAGTTTTGTTTTAACATTTTTACAAAAGTAATGGTAGATGTCCATCTAAATAACTTACATTTTATACATATTTGATTACGTTTTAGCTGTGTGCGTATCGGGAGTTGCTTGTTAAAAGACTTCCGACATTCACAAAAATGAAATTGCTCTGTTGTTGGTTTTAATCAGTTTTCTTTAGTTGATTTTCCTTACAAATGCAAGTAAGTCAGTGAAACAGTCAGTTTTTTTGTTTCAGTGAAATTAAGTGAGCTGTCAGATTTACTTCATGAGTGTTTATTTGGTCAATGTAATCTCGCTGAGTAAACAAGATGGCATCATCTATTTGAATATTATTTTACTTTTTCTACTCACTCTCTTCACGTTGTCTTTCCCCAGCCTATTTTCCACTGCGTGTGCATCTTTCTTATACTCCACAGTTAACTGCCTAGCCACATTGTTATTGGCTATAAATGCAAGTTACCATGTACACTGCTGAGTGTAATTCTACGAGAGCTCAGTAGCACAGTAATAACAAAATTATGTAGATCTAATTTAAACCTATTTGTTTAAAGTTTGTTCTTTAAAAATTTTACTTTTAAACTAAGTTCTTCTTCTACTTTAATTGGAAAAACAGAACTATATTAAGTTGAATATTGAAGTAATACATAAAAAGATCAGTCCAGTTAATAAAAACTTGTGTGAGATTTATTTGAATTCACTGAGTAGTTATTACTCAATTGAGCATCTATAGCTACTTAACACAGCTGTATGGAACCACTAACATTTTTAAGTTAATCTAACGTCAAGTGCAACTTAAGGCAGGATAAGATACTGTAGGATAAGATTTAATTCCTAAATTTTCTGTAATACAAATTTGTAAAAAATCTTATCTTTACTTTGTCAGATCACAACTTGGGACAAAAGATAGGAAGCTTCTGTAGTGCAGTCCCAGGACCAGACAGTCAAGGTTAAATTTGAGAGGGGGGGTGTAAAGGGAGGACACTCTGGAGCTGCTTTTAAGCTGTACTACTCTTCACATACTCCTAATGTAACACAGCTGGGCCTTTGAAACATACAATATTTTTTGTTCATGTGTAGTATGAGAAATGTAGGCAGCTAACATAGCCAGTGCTGGCAGACTGAGATCTTATCAGCGTGCAAAACAACACACGGTATCCGTCAATTTACTAACTCCAGCCAGTTTCCTCTAAGTCTAAGTGAGTCTAAGTGCTGCTGTGTAATAAAACAAATCCGTCATGAAAAAGGTCATGACGAATAAAGTGCTCGGTAAGGATATACCAAGATAAAACAAAAAAATCATACTGAAGGAGAAAGATTCATATGAAAACCGAATTACAGAATAAAAGTGTGGCACTAATCTAAGTAGACAGACGCAGAGGCCAGCAGTGAAGAACGGTGAAGTAGTGTTGTAGTCAACACCACTAGAGACAACCCCGAGCCAAGACTGAGACACAGTAGCAGTTCAGTCCGAGTCAAGATCGAGACCAAATTAGGAGTTTTTAAAGAATATGAAAAAAAGAAACGTTTACATATAAATAATATACATTAAATAATATAAAGAAACTATTACTTATTATTATTATTAGATTATCATCTTAGTCCAACTTTGCATTGTAACTTTCGGAAGTAAATGATGGTTAAGGTTGCTCTCTTCTTCTCTGAAACTAATTTAGCATCATCACCTAAAATCAACTAAATATAAACCAAACAATATACAGTGGAGGAAATAAGTATTTGATCCCCCACTGACTTTAAAAGTTTTAATACAAAAAAATAAATGAAACGTCTCATAATTTTATGCCAGCTTTATTTTAACAGTGACACATAGAATATCAAAAGAAAAACTGAGAAAATTACATGAAATGAGAAATAAAAATTAATTTGAATTTCATTGAAGGAAATAAGTATTTGACCCCCTAGTAAAACATCATTTAATACTTGGTGGCAAAACCCTTGTTGGCAAGCACAGCAGTCAGACGTTTCTTGTAGTTTTTTATAAGGTTTGCACTTCAGGAGTAATTTGGCCCACTCCTCTCTGCAGATCATCTCCAAATCCTTAAGGTTTTTAGGCATGCATTCGGAAACGCGAAGCTTCAGCTCTCTCCATAGATTTTCTATGGGATTGAGGTCAGGAGACTGGCTAGGCCATTCCATGACCTTGATATGCTTCTTATGGAGCCACTCCTTTGTTTCCTTGGCTGTATGTTTTGGGTCGTTGTTGTGCTGGAAGACCCATCCACGACCCATTTTCAGTGCCCTGGCGGAGGCAAGGAGGTTGTCACCCAGGATTTTGCGATACATGGCCCCGTTCATCTTCCCGTCGATGCGGTGAAGTTGGCCTGTGCCCTTAGAAGAAAAACACCCCCAAAACATAATACGTCCACCACCATGCTTGACGGTGGGGATGGTGTTCTTAGGGTCATATTCTGTATTTTTCTTCCTCCAAACACGTCGAGTTGAGTTGAGGCCAAAGAGCTCAATTTTGGTCTCATCTGACCACAGCACCTTCTCCCAGTCTCTCTCGGAGTCATTAATATGTTCATTGGCAAACTTGAGGCCGGCCTGGACGTGAGCCTTCTTGAGCAGAGGAACCTGGCATGTACTGCAGGATTTTAAACCATTACGTCTCAGTGTATTACCAGTGGTTTTTTTGGAGACTGTGGTCCCAGCTGCCTTGAGATCATTAACCAGCTCCTCCCGTGTAGTTCTTGGCTGATTTTTAGCCTTTCTCATGATCAGTGAGACTCCACGAGGTGATATCTTGCATGGAGCTCCAGGCCTAGGTCGATCGACAGTAATGTTGTACTTCTTCCACTTCCGAATAATTGCACCAACAGTTCTCACCTTCTCATCCAGCTTCTTACTTACGGCTTTGTAGCCCATTCCAGCCTTGTATAGGTCAACAATCTTGTCCCTTTAGTCTTGCCCATGGTGGAGATGTTGGAGTGTCACTGAGTCTGTTGGCAGGTGGCCTTTTATACAGGTGACAATTTGGGACAGGTGTCTCTCATGCAGGTAATGACTTCACTGAGATTAGGGTGTGTCAGTGGTCTGTGGGAGCCAACATTAGTCATGGTTTTTAGGGGATCAAATACTTATTTCCCTCAATGAAATGCAAATTATTTTGTATTTAAATATTATTTAATTTTCTAGATTTTCTTTTTGATATTCCATCTCTCACTGTTAAAATGAAGCTACCATAAAAATCATAGACTGTTTAATTATTTGTCAGAGAACAAACTTTCAAAATCAGCACTCAACTGTCCACCTGAACACAAGACTAAGTCCAAATGATGTTGAGACCAGCGATCATTATACTGAAAGTGTAATCAGAGTACATGCTGGCTAGTCCACTGGATCAGAATAAATTTACATAAGATGTGTAATGTCCAATAAATATTAATGAATGTATTAATGTATTTATACTGAAGGAAAGCACTGAATGGATTACTTCTAAATATAAAGCAGATGCGAGAGTCAGATAACACTGCTCATTTCTTTAAATTTACAGTCAAAAACAGCCATCAGGTACATATTATTAAATTATTACATATATTTCTGAGGAGATTCGATATGACATAATTATACACTTTCATGAGGAAAAAGATCAAAAGAAAATGTGTATAATAAGCGAATGAAACATATTATAATATGTATATTATAAAATTACACCAATATTAAAACATATATAATATTACAACATATTATAATTACAAACACACAAACAAACAAATAAATAAATGCCTACTATCAAAAACTTTTGAAAAGCTGTGATGGGCAGAATACGGGGCAGTGGTGTGTGCCTTGACCTATGCTGTTAGCATTAGCAACCAAAAGCCAAGCAGATGTGGAGATGGCAGAGGTGATCCAGAATGCAAATGAAGCTACAGGTCTGGCTCTGTTTCAGCAAAATTACCATGATAAGATCAAAGCTGCTGATTGTGGCCATTAGAGGCCATTCATGTTTGTTCTCTCTCTGCCTCGCTCCCTCTCTCTCTCTACTATGCCAAGCGTGGCCAGTGTGTTTCCCTAACAACCATTACTAATGGTGTATGCTGTCTCACAAGCACGTTGCCACTGGTACTGAGCTCAAGACAACTGATAGTTAAGTGATCTTTCCACGGGAACGCTGCACCACTGCCGTGCGACAGTTGTCATGGGAATGTTACCTTTCACTGTCGATGGGCTCTGGGCTGCAGGAGTGGCGGCTGTCATCCAGGCAGGCAAAACTCTCTTTCTCTGAGGGGTCAGAGGGGCAGATTCAACTGCTTTAGCGGGGCTGGTAACATCAGCATCCTGCACACATAAAGAGAGGCATTCAAAAACCTTAAAAACTGTAACAATAAAGGATTTTTCCAAAGTCTTAACTATTATAAAAACATTTGGAAGTATTCAGTTCTTCAAAACAAACACTTCCATTAATCCACCGAATGTGGGAAGTTTTGGGAAAGTATTGTCCTCTTGGAAAACAGAATACGAGGTAATCCATCAAATTACTGCTAGGAAAGTTCTCATCAATCCCAAACATATCCTGTGGTTTAGAAGGTCACAGAATATGGAGACTTTGTTATCTTTTGCCCTCTCGATTTATGGTGGCATTGCTATCTCTAAAATATCTGGAATACCTCGTTATTTCTGCCTGTACACGGCGTGTAATATGGCTCTACTACAATCTGTGTAGTGTACTACGATCTGTCAGACTTTAACAAATAAACATTATAGAGCCGTTTTGCCCCCTACACTTCCTGTAGTGTATTATACTCTGTCAGAATGACCACACGGATCACATAAACATCATACAGCCATACTGCCCCCTACACTTTCCCTGTTTTTCCTTTTCTGTGATGACCAGTCAGATCACAGTGAAGCTGGGCCTCCATCAATAGCTGCGGAAGAGATTAGTGGCTGCAGACATCAAGTAAGCTGAACTCTTTGATTTAATGTCTTAAACAAAAAGTATTTTTTTTAGATTAGCTTGTTTTTACGAGCAGCACCATGTTAGTCAATCATAGATACTATTCTAAAAGGACAAATGCAAGAGCTTTATGCCTGTACATAGTTTCATGACAGATGCCAGGCTATGCTAGACAACTACTTCATACAGTAATATTCAGTATAGGGAGGAGGAGTAATGCAATTTTACCACAGGACATCTGTAACGTTCATGACCAATTCACAGGGGATGTGAAATCATGATTTAAATGATAGCGACGAAAGCAGCTTCTCGTCTTTACGCCAGACAAGAGAAGAAAACACGTCAAAACATTTAGCTCTTATTTAGCTGTTACTGTTTATTAAAACCATCTACCTGGCAGTCTTAAGTGAATGCAGTCTGTCATTAGCATTGTCACTACTTTGGGAATTTACAGCCAACAGGCAACACTGTTTATAAAATAAAATCTATTCTCTGTTATTTCACACTTTTTAATGAGAGTATTGTTCACTGAGGTACACTGAGGTAGAACAATACAATTCAGCTTCATTAGAACCACAGAGAACACAAGTTAATGTTCCTTTAAGTGCATGAAGACTCCTTTTACATAGGACATGATAGCATTTTTACTAACAAGCAATTCAGACAGGATTAACATAATGTGCTGTGATGTCATTTCTACAGTTAGTTTTAAAGGAAGTGAAAAACAGTCATCTATTCTCAGAAATACACTATATGGACAAAAGTATTGGGACACCCCTCCTAATTATTGAGTTCAGGTGTTTCAGCCACACTCATTGCTAACAGGTAGACAAAATTAAGCACATAGCCTTGAAGTCTCGATAGACAAACCAGCAGATGAGCTCAGTACTGATGAGCTCAGTGACTTTAAACATGGCACTGTCATAGGACGCCACCACTGCCACAAGTCTAGCTAGATCTGCCTCTGTCAACTGTAAGTGCTAATATTGTGAAATGAAAGCATCTAGGAGCAACAACAGCTCAGCCACGAAGTGGTAGACCACGCAAATTCACTGTGCTGAAGCGCACAGTGCCTATGCTCTGTTGAATCACTCACTAAAGAGTTCTAAATTGCCTTTTGAAGCACCATCAGAAAAAGAAATATGCATCAGGAGCTTCACGAAATGGGTTTCCATGGCCGAGCAGCTACACATAAGCCTAAGATCAAAATGCACGATGTCAAGCGGGGATGTCATAAAAGCTCCTGTGGGTGTAATGTGTAGGTGTCCCAGTACTTTTGTCCATGTAGTGTATATACAGTGGAGTGCCCCTGCCAAGCAACCCAGACCTGTACCTGTAGGAAAACCATACAAACAACACCTGGCGATTTAAACGACATTATCACATGATGCTGAAGTCAGCTTATTACATGAAATTTCCATTCCATCTTAAACCTGTGCCGGTGCCAGAGTGTAACTGCTGCACCATTTATGGTGGAACAGAAAATTATAAGCATTATATCCAATATATCGCCCACAAAAGAGCAAAGTGCCAAGTGTTTTTTATTTTTTATTAGTTTATTTGCTATCCCCACTTTCACTTACTCATGGTTTGAAAGGCCTGAAAGTTAACTGAAATGTATGTCATTTACTGGGTGTTTGAAACTGTGTGAAAGAACAGCTGAAAACACATAAAACACAAAAATGAAAAAAAATGAAAAAATAGCAAGTTTCCTTTCTGGAAATGTGCTTTCTGTCAGGTTAATATTTACAGTACTCAGTAAGATTCCCTTTGGTGTAATTCTAAGAGAGGAAAACAGAACAAAACAGCAGTCAAAAAAAAAGCTGTCAGGTTTGTAAAACATTATTTTAGCACAGACCAGCAGGAAGAATGAAAATCTAATACTGTGATATGTTCAACAAACACTGACTGATATAAAATTTTACCAATATTGCTAGAACTAGATAAATGAGGGTGTAGGTGAATGCAAAGCCCACCTGACTGCAGGAGGTAGGGTCAGGTTTGTGTGTGTCTTCATCCTTCTCCTCCTCTTGGGCTGTTCGTGTTGACTCAGTCGTGTGAGACGTACTGCTCTTGGCCTGGGGATTGTACTCTAGTGTCTCTTGACTCACGCAGGAAGGGTTAGACTTCTCCTCTGTTTCCGTCTGTGTCTCCTCTTCAAAACTCTGGCTGTTGCTGTTTCAGATAAAGACACACACACAAAGAAACAAGCACCCTATGACTTTTAATTCTCCGTTGGGATCCCAACCAAAACAAAGTAATACAGGAGATAAAACTGCACAACATAGAAACAACACTAGTATTGCGATTATATTGCTACAGATTTCAAAGCATATCAAAATATATGTTTAGAACACAACGCTGTTAAATCATAAAAGTAATTGTGCACTCAATTGTACTAAGCTGGATTTGCTTGTTTTTACATGCACACTGATTACACTGTTGCTGCTGTGACAAAAACGTTTATCTCCAAAATGATAACTTTACAGGAGAAGGATAAAAACAAACATTCTTAAATTTGAATAGAAGAAGAATCCTCATACAATGCAATGATATAGCTCAAGCAGACAGTGATTTATGAAAATAATCACACCAAACAATCCACAATCCCATTACTCTACCACCTTAAATAAGGCTGATTGTTGGTTCCACATTTTATCCTTTTCAATCACTGTCATTTTAACAACATCTTGCTATGTGATATATGTATATGAGGGCAAACTGGAGCATCTTTTGCAAATAAGTGCAGTTTGAACACCCCCAGTCAAATGTAATGTTCTGTTTATTTTCTAAATAACACCTTCTACTGGAAACAAACATACTATGGTGTTTGTCTCAACAATTTCTATTTATTTGCTGAGTTTACCATTAACATTGTGACACATTTGCTATACATTAAGTGTGCCTTAGGTTTTGCACAGTCTATTTTTTTTTCATGATAAGTTCAGCAGATAAACAGTTACTGTGCAATAAAATGTGCAGAAGTGTGTTCGCTGTAGAGAACGTAATATGACCAGGGTGCACAAATATTTGCAGTCGACTTTAAGTGAGGCATTAGTGCACTGGCACATGTTTCCATGCACAGAAGTTGACTCATCAGTTGCGACTAAATGTTTTGGTGCCATATTTCCTAAAACTGACGCAGAGCAGAAATTTACACATGGCTTTGATAAGTACGGGCTACTGTGATTGGTTAGAGGGCTCATTTGCATACAGTCATGTCCTGCAATATCAGTACTGCATTATGACAATTAACAAACGGTATATTGTACAGTCCTAGTGGAGGTTAACAGGACAGTCCTAACACACCTGACACGGTTCACCCCTTAAAATCCCAGGCTTATTATTCATCTTCTCATTTGCTATGTGTGAAAGTAACACTCATCTCCACAGTCCCAATGAAAGACACAAATTTTTAGGTAAAAGCAGAGAATGAAGTGAACTACAGCACTCACTCTTTGTTGTCATATATCTTTCAGCTTGCTGTCAGGCACCCATGTCAAAATCTGGACTGAATACTTGCGCCTGCTGTCCAAACAGTTTTCGGAACAATTGGCTGAAACCCTTTTCTGTTCAGAAATGTTTTGGAAATGCTAGATGTGTGAAATATAAGCTGAAACTGCCCTTAAAGTTAAAGGCTCCTATGTTTTGTTTACTTGGTAAAGAGCTCTTATATTATGTGGAGGATCTTTAAACTTTAAAAAGGTAACACTAATGCATAGTGATGACATAACCCTGCCAAAAATCTGGTATGGAAGATGTCATATGCTGTCATAAGTTGTCATGACTGGTATTGTTCAGTAACAGCGTCATATTACCATTTCCGGCAATTGTCATGATGCCATAATGTTAGATGCAATGACAGCTAACTAGACTACGCTTACCAAAAACAAAACAGATGATTCATCAGATTGATTCGTAAAAGCAAAACCTCAAACTCTTCATGTTCCTCAAACCATTCCTGAACAACATGTGCAGTGTGGCAGGACGCATTATCCTGCTGAAAGAGGCCACTGTCACACGAATGCTCAGAGGCAGGGTTTCCCAGCAGAACACTGACAAGAGCATCACACTGCCCAGCTGTCCACATGATGTAAAACAAAATGGGACTCACTTGACCAGATGACCTTCTTCCATTACTCCAAGGTCCAGTTCTGACGCTCGCCTGCCCACTGTATGTGCTTTTGATGATGATGGACAGGGGTTAGCATGGGCACTCATGCAGTGCAGAAACACAGCAGGGTGAGACGCACTGCGTGTGGTGACACATTCCTCCCGTAACCATCATCAAAAATTTGGTGACCTCTGTCGGTCCAGACCAGACAGGATACCTCACACATCAGTAAGCCTTGGACAACAAACACGTTACTGCTGGTTTGTGGTTTGTCCTTCCTCAAACCACTGCTGACAGGTACTCACCACTCCTGACCGGGAGCACCCCACAAGTCTAGCCATTTTGGAGATGCTCTGACCCCGTCGTCTGGCCCTAACGATTTGGCCCTTGTCAAAGTTTCGCTTACCGTCTAAAATATCTCTGACCTTGACATGCGCTGTTGTTTTTTTTTACTGATTTTCTGAGTAAAATTGTCAGACAGAATCTCTGAGAAGTGAGTGTTCAAGGTGGGGGAGTTGGGAGGGGATGGTGAAACGTGACATTATTGGTTAATATAACACCCTTTTGAAAAGGGTTCTATATAGCACCAAAAAGGGTTTTTATATTGTAACAAGCCTGACATCGTAACAATAACAGAACCCTTTCTTGCAAATGAAATACAGGGGGGCAGAAGCTGAATATTACAGTACATATAACAGTACAGTAATTACAGAGTTTTTTTTCTAATATTAGTATTTGAATATTACCCTTACCCAGGTAGCCGTTTAATTCTTATATTTCGTTTAAAAAAGCAATGACTTTGAAATGGGTGCAAATCAGCACATCTTGGATCAGTTAGTCATGAAAGCACAGCTGCACCAATTAGCATCATTTAGTGCTCTCCATCTGTGCAGGCTATATCAAGGGTTAAAGGAACCGGACCAGACAGTCGCGCAAAGACAGCGTAATTTCAGGACATGAGATGTGGGAAACGAAAACAAAAAGAACAACAATCGGGTTACAAGGTCTCCCATGAGTGAGAAAATGCGAGAACAGATGGATCTGGTCATGGGATCTGTTTCACTTTACCAAACGGCACACATTGTCAGATCATGTACTCAGAGCAAAGCATATGGAACCAGTTAAGATAATGTACAACACTGACAGCAACTGGAATCCCTCCTGGGTTAGACTTGATGGGAAATTAAAGTCTAATTTTCCATACTTGAATTGAAAACCTATGACGGGGGGAGTCGAGTATTTCATCCTTACTGGGAGTAGGAAAGTGAGAGATGTGCGAAAACAGAAATATTTCCACAGTTGAATGTAAGACAGCACTGAAATGACGCACACATGAATCACTTCTCTTTCTTTTAGAAACATATAATGTTGACATGACTGTTTTGTAAATTCTGAATTGAATTGATTAACTAATTCATTAATTAACTGCTTCCTGCTTAGGACAACTGATTTGATAAAAACAGGGACACAGAACACTCTACTAGCACAAACAGGAAAATGTGATGTCATCAAAACACAACACAGCAGTTTAGCCCCACACACTCGCACTGAAGCCCAGGGTCTTCGGAAGAGTAGGATGTGCCCCTGGGAGGGGGTGTTTCTGGGGGGCTGACGTGCTGTGTCAGATTGTTCTCAGCGGAAGATGCATTTTGTGCTCTGCTGTTACGCCTGAGATGCCTCACGTTTTATTTCAGGTTCAGGTCAGAAACATCATTCAAACCAAGAAATCACAAAAATAAAGAGGAGAATTCAAAGGACAGTCTGCTGGTTGATAACTGGAGCGCTGCAGTAACAGCGAAGAGAAAGTGATGACAAAGTCCGAGGAACTTAATTTACTTGGGAAAGAACGGATTTAGATAAGAATGACTTTTTTAGGGCTGAGATGAAACACAGGGGTCATAAGCTGAATATGCAACATGTTTTTTTCATATTAGGATTCATCATTTTTTTCAATAACAACACATAATGTAGACTAAAATATAAACAAGACATTGTGAATATTCCTAAATATTTTATTCAAGATTTTAAGTTTTCTGGGATGATGTTATTAATTGATAAATAATATTCTGTAATTATTTATTTATTGTCATTTTTTGTCAAGTTGTCTGCCTTGAGATTTGGTCATTATTTTTAAAATATGAGGCATTCTGGATATGAACTTTATTAAAACTTCATTCTGGATATCAACTTTATTAAAACTTCATTCTGGATATTAATTTTATTAGAAATTCACTCTGAATATTATTATAACTTCATTTTGGATATTACTTTTATTAGAACTTTATTCTAGATAATAATGTTTTTAGAACTACGACTGATGTTAACATCATTAGAACTTCATTCTAGATATTAATTTTATTAGAACTTTATTCTAGATATTAATTTTATTAGAACTTTTTTCTGGATATAAACTTTACTATAACTTCACTTTAGACATTATCTTTATAATAACTTCATTGAAGAATTGATTTTATTAAAACTTTGTTGTAATATTAATTTAATTATAGCCTCACTCTGTATGTCATATATCCTTCTGTTATTTTATTAACTGAAATCTATTGTTTAAAAATATAAATGTCTTAATTTTTTACAGCTTCCTGCAAAATATTTTAAACATATGAAGCTGCAGAGCACTAGCATCATATTAGGATGATTTTATACATGTATCTGTAATCAAACTGCTTTTAAATTATATAAAACACTGATTCCTAAACTTTGAAGAGTCGTTGAATGATTACTGGAGATTTTATGGCCAAACGACCCTGCTTCCTTTGACTCACCAGACAAGATGGAGAAAATAAAGAAAATAAATATTCTCTATTTTGGAAATATGTAGTATGAAATATGTAATATGTTTAATTTCTTAGTCTCTCCGTTTGTAGAGGTAAATACTGGCTTTGGGTGAAACTGTGCTTTCCAGTGAGGTCAGTGGCTGCTTGTTTATCGCTGTGGATGGGGAGTTACCTGAGTGTGCTGTCCTCCGTTATGACCCGCACCCTGAAGATGTATTTCCCAGGTAGGAGGGAGAAAATGGACCCCTCCTTTAGGCAGTGCCACTGGTCCTTCTCTAGAGGCTCAGAAGGTGCTCCCAAAGACGTCTGAATGAAACAGGGGTTCAGGTGTGTCTGCAGAGGACATAAAAAGCTTAAATCTGGGTCCTATTGTAAGCTGTCTCTTAAAAACAGAGGTGCCAAAAAGAGTTCTTTGAAGCGTTGCAATAGAAGAATTACTCGGGTTTCATAACTTTTATATACATAGTTAATTAAAATACTCAACTGAAACCACTAAATTAAAAGATTATTTAGGAAACCATGGTGGCTCTTCACAGAATCCTTTCTAGAACCTTTATTTTAAGAGTGCAAGACGGCTCTGATCAGATTTTACCATGGTTAACTTTAAAAAGTGATAGCCGTAGTGGTGCCGTGCTGCGTGGGGCGCAACCTAACCTGGGGTAAAATGTAACACTTTATATGTAGTTAAACATGTTCGAGTACCTGGCAATTTCTGCTATTGCCATAGCAATTTTTATAGCAGTTAGACAAACATTTCTCAATATTCACTATTAAAAGTTTAAGGTACAAACTCACAAATTCATCAGAACTGTAATTGAGATATTTCAATTTTAACATACTGATACTTGCTGTTCTATTTGTGACCAAAAATTAATATAAAATTTGCCACATTTGACGCAGCCTCTATTTTTACTAATTATATTTATTTTAATGCATCCATTTTTATGTATCCAGGCTGGAAGGATTGTCAGATTAAACCATAAAATTACAGTCATTCATCGTCTTTGCATAGACCTACCAGACTTTTTAGTGACTGTTACAACTAGCCCTCAGTAGCTTACAACTTACTTAAACAACAAAGCTGATATCTAGTGTAATAAAGGATATCAATAAAACTTGACAGCCTGTGCCACCAGTCAAAATAACAACATTATGATATAATGTTGTTTCCATTATATTAATATCAATCTTTCTTCAAAGGTGCATTCGTTCATGAGTGTGAAAACTCATCCGAAAGAATAAAGAATTATCAAAATAGAATAACGAAACTGATTGGTTGGACTGGAACATGGTTGTGTTTACTGTAATTTTCAGACCCACTTCATGCTTTAATGTGCTCTCTTCAACTGCACACCAAAGGCATAGACCTGGCACTATATTGTCAAGTCTTATGTAATCTTATATAGCTATCAAGCATGTGTATTACCCACTTTGTTCAGACAGGTAAATGGTAATCCTCTTACTATATGCTATATACATCTGCACTTTCTAGTAGTCTAGTACCTAAACTACCACTCAAAAGTTTTGAATCATAGTTCAAAACACTGGAATCACTGATTTCAGTTATATAAAACCAAACTGGTTGCAAACAGGTATGTAACATGATTCTAATATGTTCATCCTGTACAGGTTTAAGGCCATTAGAAGACAATTAGGAAACTGTACATAAAAATGTAAGAAAGTTTAGATGTGTTCACAATGATGAACAAAGCTGTATCAGATTCTAAAACATCAGAGAAAGCCGTACGGCATCAAGAACTGCGTTGTAATTTGACGAGTATCCAGAATTATACTACAAAAGTGGAGATCAAATCTCAAGGCAGATAACTTGGCACACAAAATAAAGATAGCCGGAATATACTAATCATTTCATTCACTCCTTGTTCCCAGAATTATTAGACTATTGAATAAAATGTCAAAAAATTGGTCAAATTCTTGTAATATTTATATGAATGTTACACACAGCATTACTGTATAAGAAATAATAAGTAATGATTGCAACCTTTTGAATGGTGTAATGATACTAATAAATGATAGTAATGAAAGATTTTGGTTGTATGTTTCGTAAAAACGAGTGAATACTCTACATGTTTTGTAAAACTGAGCAAATCCACTATAACTCCAAAAGTATTTAGACACCCCTTCCCATTACACACACATTTTGCTTTTATAATCTCCACAGAAAAGCACTGGCTAATAGAATGTGATAATCTGGAATAGACATACATGAGCCTAAGATCACCATGTCCAATGCAAAGCATCATCCGAACACAGTTCCACTGCTCCAAAGCCTTAGAGCTTTGGTTTGTGGACCAGCGGAACTGCGTTCGGATGAGTTGGAGTGACCCAGAACGAATAATCCAACATCAGCACCTGACCTCACTAATGCGCTTGTGGCTGATTGCAATCAAATCCTCACAGCATCATCTAGTGTAAAGTCTTTGCAGTAGAGTAGAGGCTGTTACTGCAGCAAAGGGTGACAAACTCCCTGTTAATACTCTTGATTTCAAAAGAAATGCTGGATGAAAAGGTGTCTACAATCTGTTAGGCATGTAGTGTTGCAAGCCATAATTAACTTTTGACAACTGTCTTATTTCATGCAACAGCCATAATACGCAAGACGCAATGAAAAAAATCACCAAGCCAACCATAACACAAATAAATCAAAACATAAAAATGATTAAATGCTCACTGTCATGAGCTCGAATGTGGTGTTGATTGCAGAGTGTACAAGCCAAAGCACTATTGATTGGACTGTGTACCAAAAGAACATCTGCTGCCCAGTGAAAACTATAGCCAGGCCAAATAAGAGTTCTTTCAACCATCCCCTTATTTTTCACCACAGTCAGTGATGCTCAAAAAAAAACACTGCAAGCACATATAGGGAACCTTTGAGCTGGAAGGAGGCAACTTTGAGAGAGAGAGAGAGAGAGAGAGAGAGGGAGAGAGAGAGATGAGTGAGGCAGAGAGAGTTGAGTGAGGCAGAGAGAGTAAGCAAGAGCGAGGCTTTGTAATCAAAAACTTTTGATGTCTTCGCATCAAAGGCAGCCGCTCTTATGGGCGCACTCCAAAATGACAAAAGACCATCATCGTCAATGAGATTGGACAACAAGCTTACGACCAAAGAAGGCAAGCTGGAAGTGAATCATCCAACACATACAGGTTTGAGGCGCAGCTGGCCGTCCACGTTCTCCAAAACACCATGGTTTCTGGACACTCTTTTATCACTCACCTGGTTAGGGAGAGAAGAAGATTCAGGTCAGATGATTTCAGTGTGCAGACATGGCAAAGACACAGAGGTGTCAGATTACTGGGTATGTCTACCTTGTACCTTCATATATTGGCCATTTTATCAGAAACATCTACCATATATTGTACTGTGAAAGGCAACACCCTTCACTGTTTCATTACCAGTCAAAATAGCCATGAAGCACATTTTTAAGAGATATCTCTGTGATTAGATATATTCCACTTGCATAGGGAAGGGGAAAGTCAAAGGAAAATAAATAAGTCCAGACCCCAGAGTCCAGACCTCAACATCACTGCATGTGTTTGGGATTATTTGGATCGCAATAAGGAGAAAATACAACCAACCTTCAAGACTGAACTTTAGAGGTGTTAAAAATATCCCTGTAGATTTCTTTGAAAAACTGAAAGTGGGTCTCCTGAAAAGAACAGAAGCTGGGCAATAGAGAGGGCAAAAACACTGTTACGTTACCACTCTTACCTTTTAATGTAAGTCACTGTAAAGAGATTTTATTCCAAGTGATTTTAGAGCATTTCTATCGGTCCATGCATCATGAAATTTATACATAATACGAAGGACAGCTGTTGTGTTGAAATGATGCAGAAAACTAAAAATCGACAAAAACAGAGATACATGGTTTCCTTTGGACAGCAACGATGTACCTGTTCAGGTTTCTGTGTAATGTTCTGTTAAACATTTTGCTTCCGCTTTTTTCCTGATGCTGAAAAATGAATAACTTAATGTCCATTTTGACTGGAAGGGTGGCCTTTGTATTTTGCACAGTAGTGTAGGTGCACTTTGTAGGTTTACAGTTACTGACCGTAGCCCATCTATTTCTGTACAATTTATCAGCTCCCCCTCTATCCCAATCACCAATAGAAAACAACCACCACAGGACCACAACTGACCCATATTTGGATGATGGACCATTCACAGCACATGTATGTAGTGTTGTAGTACAATGTCGGTCTCAACACCATTTGGACTCTGTCTTGTATCAATCTTGCAGTAAGATTGACTCTTAAAGACATTGTAGTCAAGATCAGACATGTGCAAGAAGTATTACTGAGTATCAACAAGGCCAGAATAAACAGAATAAAACAGTCCTTTCTCTTCCTCAGTGGTTCCCAAACCTTAGTAACCCACGGCCTAGACAAGCACAAAAGCTTCCACAGACTCAAGCAACAAGAGCATTTTTTTTCTGACCTGCCTAATGAGAAGTCTGATGTTTGGCAGCTACCGAGTGCTGGACTTCAGGCTGATGAGAGGAAAGCCAAGGAGCTCTGGCTCAGTTCAGCTGCTTTAGGTACATATTCAGTATGTTTAGTCTCCAAGTGACAGGGTACATTTTTGGGTTTTAAAGCTTCATTTAGTTTTGGTTATGCTTGCACTTGACTTTAGATGGTGATTCTAAACACATCTTAGAGAATAAAAGACAGAACAACCTCAGCACTTTTAGTTACAATGCAAAGTTTGAATAAAACTATATTAATAATTAATAACGTTTCACTACATATTTTTACATTTCATATTTAATTAAATAATAGTGAATGTACAATTAACTGTATATATTATATTTAGAAAAAAAATCTTAATCCAGTCTTTGTCTTCTCAGTCACTCCTGGTCTCAGTCTTGACTCGGACGTGTCTACTAAAAGTCTTGGTCTTACTCAATGTGTCCCGGTCTTGACTCAGACGCTGATCTAGCAGTGTTGACTACATCACTACATGAATGTCATGTCAGTGTGAGTGGCACAGACAGTTTATCAGGCACAGCAACATTGCTCATACACTGAGAACATTTACAGATGAGCTACAGTAAACCTGAAGGTGCACCTTTATAATAGGTGTTGCTAATAAAATGGCCAATGAGCTACAAGTCAGGCATACTTTATAAACCTAATAACTGCATTAATCAGTTTAGGATAAAATGCTCACCAAAACATTGAGTTTTTATGGAGTGTTATGAAGTTAGACAACCAGCTACAGCTACAAGTTAGCATCTGTGAGCAAAAAGTTTTATACACACAGTTTCTGGTAGCCTCTAATTCAAACTGAAGTGAGTTTTAGGATATTTTAGAAATTAAAAGAAAATTCCACCAAATTTTTGGCAAAATTTATCATTTTCAATCATTAAGTTACAATCAATGAGTTATTAAAAAAGTCAGTTAGAATGGTTTGACATGAAATGCTCTGTTCTAGAGAAACTCACAATTTTTCACAGCAGATATTAATGCCTCTAAAACTAGGGTGTCTAAACTTTTTTTCTTGGGGGGCCAATGTGCATTATTTGTGTTAGGCGGAGGGTCAAAAAGACAAAACGAAATATAAATAAGATATATTGTTCAAATTGAGCATTTAAACATGTATTTTAGAACATTACGCTAAATCTTGACAGTACAAAACTTTGATATACAGTTTCGAAAGAAAACACAGAATTTAAGTTGTACATAATGTAAATATATGTTTGTTTGGTGTGGAGATGAGGTTGGGGTAACTTTCTGGTCCATGGACAACACTTTGAGCAGCTACCTCACAGAAAGTTGCAACACAAAACGGCTATGAAAACACTGAGGCATTGTTTTACAATAGTTTTGAGATCAGGTTCTGGCCTTAAACATGGTGCAGCAGTTACAGTCTGCACCACGTAAGCTGAAAATCAAGTCGAAATCAATTCACAGTGCAATGGTACACGCAGGGTGTTGTAAGGCAAAATAGTCCCCATAAAACATACATTTTCAGATTTTCCACTATTTTACCATCATCAACATTGCATATAAAATCTCAGAAGTGTAAGTCCACTTGTCGTTTCACATAGTAGACATTGTGACCCCTGGTTTCTATTACCGCCACTATAAAGAAATCCCTCAACAATACACAATTTCCCCTCAAACCACTCTGAATGATTTTGCTTTCATCTCCAGAGCTGAATGGGAGAAAAGATATAAAATGTTCACGGCTTTACAATACACTCACACTGTAAAGTGAAAGTCCTTTTGGAGGCTTGGTGGCCACTGGCTAGGGTATAAATATGCAATGTATATGGTGCCATCTTGAGGACTGAGACAGTAATTACTAGTGAAAAAAAATAGCTTCTTGTGGGTAACCGAAAGTAAAAGACGTTGCAAATGCCTACTCCTAGACTCTGATCCTATCTGCAGCCCTGTCCAGTCCACTTGCACTGCACAGTTGTCCTAAATCACAACATTTGCTAATCATGAAGTCCTTATTGACCTGAATCAGATGTGTTAGATGAGGAAAAGATTAAATTGTGCAATGCAAAGCAGGTGGGACCTGCTGGGCTGGACGTGGGCAAAAACTGACAAGCAATGACTGGGCCTGAAAAGGGGGTATAGGACACTGTTTCTCAAATCTGGTCCTGGAGCCCCACTTCCCTGCACTCAACCCATCTGATCCAACTAGTCAGCTCATTAACAGCTCATTATTGAGTTAAAGTCAGGGAAAGCACTAAAAATGTACAGGACAGTGGGCCTCCATGACCATGGTTGAAAAACACTGGTATAGGGGATGGTTTACGACAGGGCTGCCCAAAGTATGACCCACAGGCTAAAGATGGCCTATAAGAACATTTGATGTGGTTTGATTAGGAAAGCTACCCCAAGTTACCCCCCATCAAATGAAAGAATAAACATTTTGTATTCTGTATAAAATTTATTAAATTCTCATTTTCTTTTTAAGATTAAGTGACCCTTATTAGTTCCACAAAGGGGAAATTTGACCTCCACATTTTACCCATCTATGTAGTGAAACACCACATACACACTAGTGAACACACACACTAGGGGCAGTGAGCACACTTGCCCGGAGCGGTGGGCAGCCCTATCCGCAGCACCCAGGGAGCAGTTGGGGGTTAGGTGCCTTGCTCAAGGGTACCTCAGTCACCTACTGTCGGCTCAGGGGATCGAACAGCGACAAGAACTATATTTTGAGATATTTTACTAACAAAACATAGTGTAATGTTATCAAATACATTTTTAAAACTCTGTTTGAAACCTGCCTACCTTTTTTACTTATATATAGTTTCGGCCCTCAGCCTCCCAAAAACACCGAGCCCCCCAGAACAAAAAATGTTGGGCTTTAAGACATCAGGATAATCCTCTAAATTGTGGTCATGACTCACTCCAAGGAATGGTCCTCTTCCAATGACAGTCTCTCCGTAAGGCAGGTCAATGGGTTGGCCTCCATCCACTTGCTCCAACTCAAACCCCGGCATTCTGAGTATGGAAAGGATGCATTAACAACTGCACCAGCCAGCATACATTAATTAAACATTCACGCAATGCCAGATTTCACAGTCTGACACAGCAGAACTCCAACAGAGTTCTGTGCAATGGCCTATTCAGCAGTTCAGCAGCATGCAGCATATATGGCTGTGTCTCTAATGGACAGCTCTATGTGTACAGCTTATCTTTAAGGAATGACTGGCTGTGGCGCGCAGCCTTAACAGCTTATTGGATTCTTGAGCTCTCTTTGTATAAATATACACAAGCAGCCGATACATTTCCGAGACTGGCAGCTATCGCTAACTAAAGTGGCATAAAAAGACTCTTATGCGAGCCACACACCTGGTGGGTCCCTTGGGTAAAGTTACATGTACTTCCACAAAACAAACCCCGTCCACATCGTGCACGCCCTCGCAGAAACTTCCGCGTGCAAAAGCGGGATACGGAGCATGCGCAGTATGCAATTTTCAAACAAGGCCGCTGAACAAGCGACGGGTAATCTTATTTATTTATTTTTTTCGCAGAAATCATTAATTGTTTTTTCTTCAATTTTTTAAAATGTATTGGGGTTAGGAAAATGAAAAACAATAAATAGAATGTAAGGAAATATTGTTTTGCACAGTCACGCAAAGCACCCGCGCATGCGCAGTGGGGATGGGCGTTGTAGTGACGCCATCGCTGTAAATAAACAATACTCGCAGGCATTTAAACGGTCGGCCGTCAGGAGAGAGAGGGAAGGGAGGAAAGGGGAGCGGAGCTCGGAGAAAATCGGGTAAAGCTTGTGATTTTGGATCATTGTTCACACTTGATCGATTATATGACACATGATTCGTATGCGCTGCTTTACATAAAGATAAGTCATGGCTTGTTTGGCTTGTTTGCTAGCTAAGTAGCTTATTCGCCAGCTTCTTGTTCGAATTTTCCCGTTCCACCTTAAATGGTGCAGCAGTTACATTCTGAACCATTTAAGGTGGAACGGGAAAATTGAAAAAAAAGAAGCTGGTGAACAGGAAACCAACTTCAACCTCGTTGTAAGGGACGTTATTACCGATCATTTCCTCTAGTTTTCTTTAAAATGCACCCGTAATCCGTGATGAAGAAAGCATGTTTTTGGCATACCTGCTCTTTCTGCTGTGTAGATACAGCTGATGGAAACATACAACAGTGAAAGTGTAAAGACACCTCAGCACTAACTGAAGCACTGAAACCGAAAGTAAGTGGACTTGCACTGCAGTTCAGCTCATAGACAGAGGTGGTGTGGGGGGTACATACATCATCTAAATCGCTTATCCGTCTGGGTCGCGGTGGGGTGCTGGAGCCTATCCCAGCAGTCATTGGGCGGAAGGCAGGATACACCCTGGATAGGTCGCCAGTCCATCGCAGGGCAGACAGACAGACACATTCACACTTAGGGGCAATTTTAGCATCTCCAATCAGCCTGACTGCGGGAGGAAACCCACGCAGACACGGGGAGAACATGCAAAGTCCACACAGAAATGACCCTGGTCGCCCGGCCGGGAATCGAACCCAGGCCCTTCTTGCTGTGAGGCGTCAGCGCTACCCACTGAACCACCGTGCCGCCCGTGTGGGGAGTAATTCGTGTCAAAATGGAAAGCAATCACTTCAGAGGAAAAACGTCAAATGTACGGAGCCCCACTGGTGACATCCTGTATAAATAAAAATAATGCGTGGCTACGACTTAGTAAAGCGTGGGAACGAGATCCTAATCCGTGGCCACGACTTAGTAAGCCGTGATCTCGTTCCCACGCCTTTACTAAGTCGTGGCCACGACTTAATCATCTCATTCCCACGCCTTACTAAGTCGTGGCCACGCATTAGGATCTCGTTCCCAAGCATTAATAAGGCGTGGCCACGCATTATTTTTATTTATACAGGATGTCACCAGCGGAGCTCCGTAGGAAATGTAATGCACTCAGGACATTTATTCTCCACAGTGAGGTGCCGAATACGTGCCAAAAGGAAAACCAAACCCTCTGTTACATTGAGTTAGCCCCGCTTTACCTCTTTACTGAAAAAAAAAAAAGAAATGCTGAATCTCATGCCAGAACTGAATACAGTCTGCCTGTAAATGTAAAAAAGCATGAATATATTGTTCTGTGCAGTACTGAAAACAACGTTAAATCAATGTAATGGATCTTTTACTTTTAATTTCCTGCGTGTTACTGTTCAAATGCAATCTCATGTGTGCGTTGCATTTCACTGTTGTAGCTGCATTTCAGTTAACTGATCATCACATTGATTTATCAGTCTACTCAGGCTTTAGCGGAGCTCAGTAACACTGAGATTAATAACTGATCATCACATTGATTTATCAGTCCACTCAGGCTTTAGCAGAGCTCAGTAACACTGAGATTAATAACTGATCATCACATTGATTTATCAGTCTACTCAGGCTTTAGCAGAGCTCAGTAACACTGAGATTAATAACGGATCATCACACTGATTTATCAGTCTATTCAGGTTTTATCAGAGCTCAGTAACACTGAGATTAATAACTGATAACATTGATTTATCAGTCTATTCAGGTTTTTTCAGAGCTCAGTAACACAGATTAATAACTGATCATCACGTTGATATATTAGTCTACTCAGGCTTTAGCAGAGATCAGTAACAGTGAGATTTGTAACTGATCATCACATTGTTTTATCAGCCTACTCAGGCTTTAGCAGGAACTTCAGTGTTTGTAAAGAACCTAAAGATCCTCTTTGGAGTTCATCAAATAAGCTGATTTTAAAATAGTAAATAAAACAAGCACTGATGGTGTTTCTTTTGAAGATTGTAGGTTCTATAATTTTAAATTTCTGCCTAATTAATTGATTGAGCTGTAAACAAAGTCATTCAGAGTGGTTTGATGTGAAATGCTCTGATCTACAGAAATAATGAGTCAGAATTGTTCACAGTGGAGGTTTTGGGAACCAGATGTCTGAAGAGTTTAATGCCTCTAAAAGCTCCAGGTTGTGACATGACATGGTTATGAATATGCTGCTTGATGCCTGAGAGATTGTTTTGATATATGGTTTTGGCATTTTATACTCCATTTACTGTATGGTAGAGAGATACATGTATGTTTTACCACTATTTTAGCATTATCAACTTTACGTATTGTAAAGAAATCCTAAGTTTTAAGTCAGTAAGTTTCTCTACAATGAGCCATTTTACAGCAAACCACTCTGAATGACTTTGTTTACATCTTACTCATTAAATTATGCAGAATATTTAAACAATGTATGGAATTCCTCTATGTGCATGTGCTCCATTACCTTTTGCAACTGCTATCTTTCTAGCATGTTTCTGAACATGATAGGGTTTGTGTTAACACTTTGTGCATTACTTTTGTTTTGCTAAATTCAAATGTGATTACGTTACAGCAATTTTCATTACATAGTGAGTTCATACTGTGAATTACATTTACATTCAATTTACATTCTGTGTCGACAGCTTTGAGCCTGCACATCTGCATTCCTTCTGCACCCCTTTTTTATTGTTTAGAAATGACAAAAATGTAAAAAATGGTTTCATTCTGCAAAAAAGACTATACACCACAGTAACTTTCAGTCAAATTCAGAATCTGCAGAATTTCTTCACTCAATGAGATCCGAGTGAGAAATAATTAATATTGACAGACACCATGTTTTTGTTATCACTGGTGATGCTTTACATCATATCTGCTTGTTTATTGAAACAGAGGCAGTACAGAACTGGAGAGCTGAGGGATGCTGAGAGAGCATGTCTCTAGAAGGAACAGCGACGCCTGGGCTTTCTGTAAAAGAAGCCCCATCCTGATCTCCCAGCAGAACTTCACAGAGACGCTGCCCACAGAGATGAGCGTGCGAATCTTCAGCGAGCTGGACCTGAGGAGCCTGTGCCACGCCTCACTTACCTGCAAGCAATGGAACAACATTATCGAGGGCAGTGACCACCTCTGGAGGAGCCACTGTCTGAGCGTACTGGCTGTGTGTCGCAGAGAGGTGGACGGGGACAGACAAGACGGACTTTCTTGGAAGGTTGGTCACTCCGAGAGATTTGTGCAGTGAGGTGCTGTACTCTAAGGAGCATTCTGGCTGGCTAAAAACAATTCCTCTGTCAAAATACCATTTACAGTCAGAGTTTTATCAATCAGAGGTGGACAGAGTGGCCTAAACCCAAACTCAATTAAAAGTGTAGTTACTTACTGTTACTAACTAAAATAAACAACTTGAATAGAAGTACACCATATGTCCAAAAGTATCCAGACACTCCTTCTTGTTAGTGAAATTAGCTACTTTAAGGTGCACTCATCACCGTAGGTCACCATGTCCAGTGCCAAGCTTTGGCTAGAGGGGTATAAAGCCCCCCAGAGTTGGGCTGTGGAGCAGTAGAACTGCATCTCTGGAGTGATGGAGCTCCATACAATACCTTTGGGATGAGTTGGAGCAATCCAGAACTGATCATCCAACATCAGCACCTGACCTCACTCATGCTCTTGTGATTGAATGAAATCAAATCCTCACAGCAATGTTCCAACAATGTTCTAGTGTAAAGCCTTTACAGAAGACTCTTTATTAATAGCCTTGATAACAAAAGAAATGTTGGATTAGCATGTGTCTATAAACCAGGTCAACGAGGTAAGAGGTTCAGCATGTTCAGCGTTAGAATGCTGCTTATCTCATTTTATTGAACCTGGCTAATCAACACGCATCAACATTTAGTGTGAATCCTCTGCTGGTAAAGACGCTGGCATGGAAATTACTCTGTATTGATGTACCACGCCTTGCATGTGTCTCTCTGCAATTAATGTACATTATTTTAAAAATACATTTTAGGCCACACTGTCATCTCAAAACTATTACAAAGTAATGTTTCATCATCAGGCAATTTATTCATAAGCATTTCATGCACTGACTTTCTGTGAAGGAGCTTTTAGAGGCATTAATCTCTTGAGACGTCTGGTTCCTATCACTACCACTTGGAACAATCCTGACTCTTAAGTTTCTCTAGAACAAAGCATCTCACAACAGACCACTCTGAATGACTTTGTTTACACCTCAATCATTTAATCATACAGACATTTTAAAAAAATTGGTGGAATTCACTTTCAAGACTAAATATGAAAATGGCTGGATTGGTACAGTATACACTGAAAATCAAATCAAATATGATTTTAAGCTTAATGTAATAAACTAACATAAGTCTAAAACAAGATACTGAGTGACACAGACGTCTGTTACTTCTTAGCTACATTGGCCTCGTAGCTCCAGTGCAAAACTAAAGAAGCAAACACCAAGTATGTCTTGGCTGATCACTACATTTGGGATAAGATGACATGTGATTTGTTTATTTTCCAGTGAGCAATTCCTTTAATGTTCTTAGCTGGAGTTCATGAGTTTTTTTGACTTTCTCCCAGGTGACTCTGGTGCGGAACTACCAGAAGGGCTGCGTGAAGAAAAGATGGTTAAAGGGCCGCTATAGCAATATCTGCTGTGCTGAGGATCTTCCACCAAACAGCATGTGTCCTCTAGACGTGGAGACATGGGGGGAGATCCTGGAGGCTGAGCTGGAGCGATAGACACAAGAGACTTTTAGGGTGAGGGTAAAAGACTGAAATACTGTCAGGACTCCCTCCTGAGAGCAATTACGCCTGAAACACTTGGTCATTCATTTAATGTAATGACATTTTGACATTGTTAAGAACATTTTTGTAATCAGTGTTCAACCATGCTTGATGAATGTCACAACTGATGTATGTTGGTGTCAGCTATGTTGTTCACCAATATAGGGCCCAGTTAATTTATTGTTATTTCTATAAGGACAATGACATGAGGCCTTTAGTCGGACAATGACTAATTGACGCATTGTCAGAAAATAGTAATGTAATTGTAAATCATACTTTTACAAATGGAATAAGGACAGTACCATTTTAGATTTTGTTTCTCCAATTAAGAAAATAGCATTTTTAAGTGTTTGATTTTAAATCTATACTTGAGGCTTAAAAAGTGAATGTTTGTGTGCTGTTAATTTAAATCCTGGAATATAAAGACTTTTATTCTGACATTATTCTTTAAAACACGTTATTTAAAAATATATGACCTGTATGTTAATTTATGTTCAATTTCATTTGAACAGCCGCCTTATTTTTTTCATGAAATCAGTGTTTCAACTCTTAGTACCCTTATTGGTTACTACATGAAACACTGTAATAAAACATACGAGTTGAAATGCTGAATACACAGATGTGTTTTATTACAACACTGTAATTACACATGATTATTTTCTTATTGTCCTTACTTTTCACTATTAACAGAGCAAAAGTTACTTCTACTTTTACTAAAGCAAAAGAGTTGTACTCTATGTAGATGTTGTGCTCAGTGTAATGGCTATAAGGAACCACCAGCGCAATCCATGTACTGTGTCTTGAAAGGGGAATTCCACCATTTATGCAGAATTTCTGCATAATTCCTTTGCTGAGGTGTAAAGAGTGGTTTGATGAAGTGGTTGGAACTTACATACTCAGATATCTTTAGAGTGGTGGTGATAGGAACCAGGGGTTGTGACATCTACATCAAAAATATAGCCATTTTATTTACTGTCCAGAATGACCAGTGACCCTAAATGTGTCTTCTAAGTTTTCATATGTAATGTTGATAATGGTAAAATAGTGGTAAATCTGAAAAAACAAAAATTGGCTTTGGGGACCATTTTACCTCGCAGTGCCCTGCATATACCTCTCCACGATAAATGCATTTTAAAATATACATTGTAGGCCATCACTTTTTCTCAAAACTATTGTAAAGTAATGTTTCAGACTTCAGGCAGGGTGTTTCTAACCATTTCATTATATAGTTTGCTATGAGGAAGCTTTTAGAGGCATTGAAATCTGGGGACGCCTGCTTCTCATCACCTGCTGTGAACAATTGTGACTTAGTAAGTTTTTTAGAATGCTGCATTTCACATCAAACCCCTGAACATCTTTGTTTACATCTTAACTATTCATTTATGCAGAATTTTCATGTTTCATGACAGAAATGACCGTCTGTGAGGCCTTCAGGCTGTTCATTAGCTGTGAAAGAGAATAACAGACGTAGCCTTGAACAATATTGGCCTTCTTGTTGAGGTGCATGCATCATAGGGAGTTATAGAAAAGACACACAGGCTAACACAGTATTCACTAGACCTGGGTCCTGTCTCATGAAGCATGTTCAGCTAAGACAGAGTTCCAGATTAAGGAACAAATGCAACCGCTGTTACTCGTTTTGATGATGCTAGTTAACAACTTTATTTGTTGTCTAAATAGTATGTCAAAATAGTACACCAGCAGCAGGAATACATTCATTAGCACAGTAGTACATATGTATAGTATAGTAGAGTCTATAGTCTATAGTAGAGTATGTGGTTTTTGATGCAGCTTGTGATTAATTCCAGTGCTCATGCATGAAAGCATTTCTGTTGAACATCCAGTCATGTGAAACATGGAGAGGAAAAACAAGAAATCATACCATGAAATAGGAATAAAGCATCTAGAAAAGTGCATTTTCGAAAGAAAATGCAGCGATTGCGCAGTTTAAGCTTGCTAAAATGTAGCTAGGCAGTTGCTATGGTATTCCAAGTGGTTGCTAGGGTGTTGCTAGGTGGTTACTATGGTATTCCAGATGGTTGCTAATATGATTTTAGGTGGTTGCTATGGTGTCCTAAGTGGTTGTTGCTAGAGTGTTGCTAGGTGGTTGCTATGGTATCCCAGACGGTTGCTAATATTATGCTAGCTGGTTGCTGTGGTGTCCCAAGTGGTTGCCAGGATGTTGCTAAGTGGTTGCAACCATACCGCAGGTGGTTGTTTGGGCTATTCCAGTGGTTGAATTGGTATTCCAGGTGGTTGGTAGGTGGTTGCTGATGGTTGCTATGATATAGGGTGTTCCAAATGGACTTTGCAACACCCTATACCTTTTGCTCCCCATTCATTTCTATGGGAAGAAAAATAGTCATTTAATGATGATTGCATGAAAACCAACATCTGATCAAAAATCTATATACAAACAGAACATCCTGATCAGACCGAACATTCTGGAGTGGAATGGTGTCGATATCTCAAGAAGAAGAAGATAAATAAATAAAATAACAGTGCAGTCAGTAATTATAACGGCAAAACTCAACATCATCACTGCTATTATGTTAATGGTGTTGATTTTAGCTATAATAATTGCATTTTAGTCTTATATTTTCCATAGAGAAAAGCCCAGAGTTCCTTATTTGGGAATGACACCTTTTACAAAATGAGGCACATCCTCGGAAAGGGCAAGTACAAACCTACACCACCTGCTGGTTGTTTTTGAAGCACTTTGATTCGACAATCATCACAGGGATATTTTTGATAACAATGATAAAAAGCACATTTAAAATCGCTTAAAGCACCTCTGTGAGTCATTGTGCGACCATAAAAGCACAGTAGCTACGAATGCAAGTTAATAGCAAATCATTTAATGGCTGAGCCACATTAGTGTGAACATTAAAATAATTGAACTACAATTCCCAGCGCTTGGTTCTGGCTCCGCTTCGTGGGACGTACGAACGTGATGTCATCCACGCAACAGACTTTGTAGTCCGTTAAGGGGTAGCGTTGGTTTTTCTCTTTTACAGGGAATTAAGGATTTGGGACACTGACACTGTTGAATATAACTGAGTAATATGGGTGGCGTTACTCGGTGTTGTACAACTCTTAATGTGCAATTCATTGTTAACCTGCGTTTTGATTGCAAACAGCAGGGGGCGATCTGTCCGCTCTACTTTCCTTTTGAGTTTTGCAAGTAACGATACATGAAATAACACGGAGGCGTCACTCTTTTTGCGTGTTTTCACGTTATTTTTTAATCACAATTAATCCATTTAAGCAGTGAAACGTAAACAAAACGTCATAAAACATTACGTCAAAGAATGTTGTGACCAGAGAAACCGCCACGTTCTGAAGAGCTGGTGGGAAAATTCAGCGAGTTCAGCCGGTTCGGGTCCTCCGTTCACAGACAGACACAGGTGGGTCAGCTAGACTAAACCATCGTCCAGGAAAATGTTGCTACTTAAGTGAAAGCGACTCAATGAGATGTAAAAGAAGCTACAAAAGATGCTTAAGTTATTAGTAGCAACAGGTCCAAAAAACTCCTCAGGTATAATTTGTTATTCTTCTCTTTTTGGGATCCTTTTGGTCGAAAATAAAAAATAAAATGGTCACAGTGACAGCATAGCAGTCCAAGAATGAAACCAAGAATGAAATTTAACCAGAAAAGACTTAGAAACTAAAGGCTGAAGTGAATGGCTGAACCTCTTTCCTCATGCTACTCCTGAGTACAACTAAAGTATTATTTAACCTGAACATTTGGAGTAATTGAGTACTGTTGGGTGATTTACCACCACGTTATTGAAATAAGAATATATGGAACTAGAAATGTATGAAAAACACCCATTCATAATTTCTGTGATGCAATATATCCCAAAACTAAAAAGAGAAGACCACACATTGGATAGCAAAAGTGAAAGAAGATTGTAAAATTTAATACGAAAAATATTTTTCAGAATTACAGGAATGGATAGATAAAAATGGAGAAAAATGATCTCAGCAGGTTAACATGTTCACACAAACGCACATAACTTCTTACACAAAGGCTGAACTAAGCTTAAAGAAAGTAAGCAGGCCAAAACTCTAAAGGGAGAGAGAGGGAGAGAGAGAGAGAGAGAGTGTGGTGGAGGTGAGAGCACCTATAGGTGTCTTCCCCATCTAACACAGACTTTGTCAAAACACTTATAGCTTTACGCCAGGGGTGTCCAGTCTCACACTCAAAGGGCCGGTCTCTCCCTCTCTCCCTCTCTCTCTCTCTCTCTCTCTCTCTCTGCCTCTCCCTTTAGAGTTTTGGCCTGCAGGTTTTCATTGCAGGAGCACACATGATCAGTTGTTTAAACTCTGACTGATAAAACGAGTGGAATCAGGTGGGCTCTTCTTGTTTGGCACAAAAACCTGCACCCACACCGGCCCTTTGCAGGTAAGATTGGACACCCCTGCTTTATGCAAATTACATGTACGATAGACTGTCTTCATATACAGTTGCTATGTAATAAACCTATTATAATGCAGGTTTGGGTTGACTCAGAAACTAAACTAAACACAGTGTCATTGGTGAGATTCAGTCAACAAAGACAGTGTCCATTGTGCGCATCTTAATGATGTCAGCAGAAGTTGCTCTGATTCAGGCTCGAGGCCTGAAGGTTTCCGAATGGTCCCTTTCAGTAGTCCTATTCTATAAAAAGATTTAGATTTGATTATGGGAGATAATCTACATCCCTTCAGTACCATGCTATCAAAGTGTCAACCTATACTGAACTACAATGAACTGAGTAAATATAACTTACTCCTCCCTTCTGTTCACATGCTAGTCATTTCAGCTAGAGGACCACGAGCATATCTAACACCGCCATTTCATTTTTATTTAAGCAAATGAATTAGCAGTACAAGCCTAGATAACTAGCTGAAAGAAGGTAATTGCTATAAATAAAATGAGCTGTACACATCCTTACCTCAGCATCAGTAACACTGACTGACTTTCTCTGTTCAGAATAAGACTCATTCTCCATCAGTCTGCTGACCACAGCCACAAAGCATGGTGCGTCTGAATTTCGGGTACTTGTTTCTGAGGTACCTGATGATACTCCTCAGTGGTGTAATACTGGTAAGTAAAGTCATGTTGGCCATCTTGCTGATGACATGCACAAGTGGTTCCCATTAAGAATGTCTGATCACCACTAATTTTCTTTTAGTTATTCCAAAGCTAGAATCCCAATGCCAGTCATTCTAAAAGTCATACTATACAAATAGAAATGAAAAAGATGGTTGTGATTTCAACAGTGAACACCAGTAAATGTGGACATCAGAAAGTGTATTTGAAAACCTTTGCATTAGTGTTATCTGCCATTGATCTGCCATTGCAGCAGAGCGTTCACTCTGTCTCACTCCTGCACCATCTGTCTTTAAGAGGAGTGCAGGGAAAAGGCATCAGGAAAAGTGGTTCCTACACAGTTTTCCTACATAGTTACGTACAACAATCATGTTGTTTCAGCATTGAATACATATTTGATACAATGTACTGATTATTAGTTAAAAAAAATCAATATTTTCAGATGAGGATCAGTTCTCAAAGGGAAATGTTAAGATTAGAAGTGTAGATGCTTCAGTTTTAATCCACCCAACTCATACCAGATTATTTAAAGTGGACACGTTCTGCATAATTATATTATTAATACACTGCCAAAGTCATTCAGAGTGTTTTACTGTGAAATAATCAGCTCCAGAGAAACTTAATGGTTTGCAAAATGGGCAATAGGAACCAGACGTTCAAAATATTTAATGCCGCTAAAAGCCAGATCAGAGAAAGCTTTTACACACAATGGTTATGAATGTTACCTGATGGCTGAGACTTTGTTTTCCAATAGTTTTCACATAAGATGCATTTTTTTAAAAATGCTCATTGCAATGCAACTGGTTTTGAAGAGCAGGAACACTGCAGTATTAATATATGCTAATTATTTTTATTATTTTAGAGCTTTTGATATTCTCTCATAGATACAGTATACAAATACATTTATTTATGGACCATAAATTTTGCATTTTGTGTTTTTTATTTCAAAAATAAAAAGAAGTAGAAGATAGTCTGGGTCCCTGGGGGTCATGATATGTACAAATATAGCCATTTTATTCACCATCCAAGATGACAGATTTAATCTGCCTTCTGAGCTTTTGAGTAAAAAAGCAGAGCAGAACAGCCAGCATGCTAGAGTGATGTAGAAAGTGACAGGAGGCTGATAAACAGGGTATGCTTTGCTGTCCTGGTCTAGATCAGCGGATTAGTCCTGTTCTGCCTGGGGATCTGGATCAAATATGGTGCTGCATCCTTCATCGAGGTGATGGGCTCGTTTTCCAGTCAGCTGCTGACCAGCAGCTACATCTGCATGGGAGTAGGTGGAGCTCTGTGTCTGCTCGGCTTGATCGGCTGTAGCGGAGCATGGACCCAAAACCGCTGGCTCATCTTACTAGTGAGAGAGAGACATTCATTCATTCATGCATGCCTTTATCCATGTATCCATTTATTAATTCGTTCACCAACTAATTTATCAAAACACTCAAACTTTATTCATCCAAAGTCACATCCAGTCACGTAATTTATTCATGAATTTATTTACTGATTATCAGAACTCTTACATTTATTTAACCAAATCACATCTCTAATGTATAATTAATTAATTAACCACTTCATTCATTCATTCATTCATTTAATTCACAGAGATTTTATTTATGTAAATCATATCTGATCAGAACAGTACATTTAGCTTACCCAGAATATCTGATTCATCCTTTCATCTGTTCATTTATTCATTTTTCTACACCATTAAATTTGATTCATCCAAAATAATTCATTCCTTCATTCATTAATTCATTCATTGACCAACTAATTTTTCAAATCCATCCAGTGTTATTCATCTAAAATCATTATTAATTCATTCATTAATCAATACATCAGTTTGGCTGTTCATCCACTTTTCACATCACTCTCTTCTCTCTGCAGTACTTCTTCATTGTGTCCATGATGTTCATTGGGCAGATTGTGGGCACCACTGTGGTCATACTTTACAAAGATGTGGTGAGCAAATCCCATCATGACTTTTTCACTACTCAAACAACTGTAGGACCACATAACAGAATCACAACACTGCATTAATTTTTCCAAACAGAGTGGCAAACTCTACACACCTACTCTTCACAATGTACACTTTGAGTGTAAGGCAAGACCTACATTAGTGCTGCTGTTAAGTTCATCCTGCTTCCAGGTGACCTCTATGATTCGAGAGGCCAGTAAGGAGTCACTGATGACGGCGTATATGGGGCCTGCAGCCACTGACCCCATCTCTAGAGCCTGGAACAGCATCATGATCGAAGTAAGACCTGCCCGTCGACTTTAGCACTTTAGTATGAGTTCTAAAACAATGGTTTTGGCACAGTGGTTTGATGTGGCACCTAAAAGCTTGACATCGTAACAGCAGCAGAACATTTTTTGGTGCTATATAGAACCATCTTCAAAAAGATTCTATATAGAACCATATAGAACACATGCTCCATCAATCTGAAGAACCATTTCACCACACCAAGAACTTATGGTTCTGAATAGAACCATTCCCTTTACTAAGGAAACCTTGAAGAACCGTCTTTTTAAGAGTGTACTTAAGCGATAGTTTTGTTGTGAGTTATAATGCGATGATTTCCATTTTTGTGTGTGCTGGTGTTGCAGTATAAGTGTTGTGGATTTGAGAGCTCCATCAACGACTTCAAGAGCTCCATATTCGGCACCAACACTGGGCTCCTGTACCCAAAGACCTGCTGCGTGGATATGAAGTCACCAGAATGTGATGGATTAGACACTACACCCAGCCTGGTCCATCAGCAGGTACTAATTTTGGAGAGAGAGATTTCATATCTAGTTTTATTTTATTCATTCAAAAGTTTGGAATCATTTGTCATTGTATAACTGCAATAATAACTTATACAATGTGGATATTGTAGGTAATATAGGTTTCATAAACTAGACATCTAGATGTATTTTGTTTCGTTCAATACTGTAAATATTTTAAGAACATGAAGTTTTTTTTAAATGATTAATAATATATTGTAATGATCTATTTGCAATAATTTTTGTCACAGTATCTGCTTTGAGTGTTTTCTAGTACAAGACATTCTGGACATTAATTTCATTAGAACTTTATTCTGGATATTTATTTTATTAGAACATCATCCTGGATGTTAATTTAAAAAAGAACTTCATTCTGATTATAAAATTTATTACAACTTCGTTCTGGATATTAATTGTATTAGAAAATCATTCTGAATATTCTTTTCATGAGAACTTCATTCCGATTTTATTAGAATTTCTTTCTGAATATTAAATTTGTCAGCATTTCAGTCCAGAAATTCATTTTCTGTGAACTTCTTTCTGGATATTAATTTTATTAGAACTTTTAAGACAGCTTTCTCTGTCTTTTTAGAAAGATCACTTGGGCTGTTTCATTGTCTAAAGTCATGGTTTCCTGTACGTATGTGAACACGCCAAATTAACTCAAACCCCTCGAAACAGCCCCAAAAACAAACAGTTCGTTTGAAGTTTGTTTTGTAGTTCGATTGTTTTGTGCCCTGTAAAAACAAAACGCCCTCAGTCTGCTTTTGCTTTGCTTTATGATGAAGACCTCGAGGCTTATCGTACGCATATAGCCACCGTGTTCCAGCACTTCAGCGGGTAAAAACTGACCACCAGGGATCATTTATAAGGTTCTACTCAGGATAATTTATTCCAATTTTGCACAGTGCACTTAGGCCAATCATTTCAGCGTGGCCAATAGGAGAACAGCTGGTAGGTCTGGTGGTTAGATTTATCAGAGAACACTGCCCACTGCGCACACCATGAGATGGTCTGAACAAGAAGTGGCCCAGAGTCCTCTTTATAGCTCACCTACATTGTGAACACAAAAAGAACTGAGGCCATTAGCAGTTGGTTCCCTTCCAGGTTCACTTTAACAAAACTCAGGTGGAGTCATTTAAAAAGAACTGTATGTGAAAACACCCTTAAACTCTGTTTCTCCTTCTCAGAGCTGCATGGTGAAGCTGATTGAGGTCATTAAGGATAAGAGCGTGATCATCAGCGCCATCGCAGCCACTGTGTGCATCATGCAGGTATGAACCCAGCTCAGCACACACAAATTTACTCTCTTACTTTAATTTATTTACATGTTTGTTTGTTTGTTCATGTGATTCACATAATGGTCCATATTACTATGAAGATGTATTCATTTGAATCTGTCCATATTACTATGAAGATGTATTCATTTGAATCTGTTCTATAATCCTGTACAAAGTGATTTACAGCTATGCGTCTTGGCAGTTTGTATGCTTTAGCTTGTAAATATACTATATAACTTTAATACATTAACAAGTAGTAAAAATATCTTGTTTTCAGTAAATTTATTGATGTTCCATTAGAAGAAGGTTTAGTTCATCTTCTTCATAATGCAGCTTCTCTGCATTGGTGATATCTGTTATTGTGCTTCCTTGAGGTTTGGAAATGGTGAAAGGAATTCTGACCATAATGAAAAATTTAACCATCACTATGTTTTAAACATTGCTACTCACATCCTACGGTGGTGCCACAATAGTCTTACAGGTACAACGGTAGTCACTGTAGATACCACGTTTAAGTCTGAGACCAAGACTGAGATATTTTTCATCTTGCACTATATATCATTTCATTTTGCACTAGTATGTCTGTATATACTATCTCATGGTGTTCATCTTTATGTCTTATTTATCTTTATTTTCTTTTTTATTTACGTCCTTGCTGTCAATACTAGAGCTGCTAGGTGGTTTTTAATTGTGTTTAAACAATGAAAATAAAGATCGATCTATCTATCTATCTATCTATCTATCTATCTATCTATCTGAATAATTCATTGTTGAATGATTCATGGTTCTGATTTGCAGTTGGCCTCCATGATCATTTCCGTGGTGCTGTTTGTGAGACTTGGAGTTGTTCTTTGCTGAGGCACAAACCCTACACACACCATTCACAACCTTACAACAACCACTCATTAATAAAACTCTTCAGCATAGAAAAACTAGTTTAGTTTTTTTTTATTAAAAATGAGTTGTGGACACTTTTTCATGAGATCAGTTCAGTTACTCCTGCTCCCTTTATAAAGTACATATATAAAACTGGGAGTGTCTGTGAAATCAATGCCTTGTCACTACAACTACTGTAAATACTGTAATTTTAGCAATAAATGTACAAATATATAAGTGTAATTTAGTTTTATAATATACATGCATTTCCTAATTTTCCTAATTTTTGTTTGGCAAAATACTCACTGATTAAAGTATAATTGGAATAATATTTTGTTGCTTCTAACTTCCATCAACTCAAAAAGACTGTCCCTATTGTAACACACCTACGTCACCTCATGAAGATCTTGATAATTACTCCACATGTAACGTCCAAAATTAATTAGTGAATTCAGCTACTTTAGGGTGCTCCCATTCCTGACACAAGCATTCAATTGCGCAGCTTGTATAATCTCCATAGAAAAGCATTAATCAACGGAATACGATCCTCTGTAACAGCTGGACATGAGGTCACCATGCCCAATGACAAACAGGCAGCTGCAGGGGTATAAAGCTCCACACCAGTGGACTGTGGAGCAGTGGAACTGTGTTCTCTGGAGTGAAGGAGCTCCTTTAGAACTATTCATCCAACATCAGTACCTGACCTCTCTAATGCTCCTCACTGCAATGTTCCATCATCTAGTGTAAAGCCATCTCAGAAGAGTAGAGGTTACTGCAGCAAAGGGGGATGAACTTCCTATTAATATGTTGGATGAGTTGGTGTCTTCAAACTTTTGGACATATAGTTTATCTTAGTATAGAGTTTATACTGATGCGTTTGAGCCATAACAAACCCAAACTGTGTAACACTGTGGCCATTCTGGACTGGAGTCCATCCCTACGTCATCTCTTTGTAGGGCTGGGTACTGTTCCAAATTTTCTATACCCATTCCTTGAATTTTGATACTGAATCTCAATGGTACTTTTTTGGTACCAAAAAAGCAGGTCTGGCTTAACTACAAATGAGTATGAAGTGCAGGAATGATTATATTAACTGATTGCAACAGATTACAGAGTAATTAAGAAGCAGCATCGTTAATAAGATGCATGTGGAACACAGTTTAGACAGCCAATCACCGCTCTAGACTTTGGAACAAGCATGCTATTGGCTCAGCGATGCCGATAGCACTGACTGCTTTGTAATTCTGTAATTCAGTATAAAATTATTGAATTTTAGTAACCAGCCCTGGGTCTTGGGTGTTTTCTCAGTACCCAGAACACAGAGGAAGGATTAGAAATCTTCGAAAGAACATTCTTGAAAAGATACCTTGCAATGATAAACTTGCAAGAACATGAGACACCCTATAATAGTCTGAGATGTGCTGTGTACTAGCTGTTGTGCAATAGTCCAAGCCCAACTTCAGTAAGATATCTTTAGCAATACACTCTCATTTGGTGCTCTTGAGCAGTACTAAATCATAGTGAAATCAAAGATTCTCCACTGAAATGAAGATTTAATCTAGGACTAGACTTAATCCTTGTACAGGAATTGACCATATCAGACTTTAAACAGTTTTTCAAACTCACAAAACATATAGATTATAGACATATAAGATCATATCCAAAAGTTTTGGCGCTCTGGTCATAATGCACGTTTTGTTGAAAATAAGTTAACAAATCCTCTACAGAGAACACACTTCACATTTTAATGCTCAAGTAGTGTTTATTTCCTGAATTTAACATACTAGAAGAAAATAAAACAAAATGAAATTATATTAAAAACTCGTTATAAAGATATTTAGTAAAATTTAAGTTAAGAAAATATTTAAGTTTGTTCCCTGTAGTGGGTGTATTAACTTATTTTCAGTTAGTTCAACACAACCTGCAATTTGAATGGTATTCATACTTTTGCATAAACATATAGTGCATGTTTTTTTTTTTATTTATTTGCTGAGTTTAACACAGTGGAATAAATAAAACAGCATTTTGTGACAAAATGGTAAATTCAGCAAATAAACAGTAATTGTGCACTACAATGTGCAGACGTGTTCTCTATGGACAATGTGTTAACTTAAGTTCACTTAACATCAACACAACATGTCATTTTACCAGTGGAGCTCAAACTTTTGCATACAACTGTATATTATAGATCATCAGTGGCAAAATGGACTCTGACACTCTATAAATGTGTTGTTTTATATAACTACAATGAAGTTAATTTCACTGAGTAAATAATTTGAAAGTGTTACCATGGGCTGGTCAACTTAACAGCCTTTCATTTGGTCTTGTTGACAAATCACTAACAGAAGCATTCTCGTCCTTCGGGGGGGATCAAGGTCAGTTGTTTTAACTGTTTTCGGTACCTTACGCTCTTGAATATTGGAATGCACCTCGGTCAGTGGAAAATGACGTGAAGCAAGTTCACAAGAATGCAAGAACGTATATTGAGAAACATCCCTTGTCCTGCTTCACAGCCAAATGTCAAAGGTTACTTAGTCTCCCCTCATGTCTTAGACAAGCTGATGACCTCTGAGCCCACGCTGACACTCCGTAGGCGCTGTTTATGTTCTTCAGGTGATGATTTTGGGTCCCTCACCTCAGGGAACGATGGGATATCAAAACTCGGAACTGCCAGGAGCGACATACCTGACGGTGCTTTGCCATTGGTCATCGGGGTCAGGACCCTGGCCTGGTCTCCAATTGGCTGAAAGGAGAAGAAGTCCGGTATGGAGCGGTTGGTGGGAGCTGGGGGCTTTATCATGCCGAGATTAAAAGCACTTGAGCGGGTTGCTTTGGGTCTCTCACGTGGTCTTTCTTGGTTGTGGCCCGAAGGTTCTTTTGGTAAAGGTGCTGGTATCTTTGGCACTGGCGATTGCTTCTTCTCCATTTCATCTCCCTCCGTCTTCTTCTGCAAGTTCTTTGGTCCGTCTTCGTTTACTCCCTCATTAAACTCGTTCAATAGCAGTGCAGGCAGTGCAGGATTGATTCCTCCACAACTGCAGATGGTGCTCTGGGTGTCCTGTCCCAATCCAGATGGCAGTGACCCACCAGCACCTCCACTCCGCCCTACACAGCCCTCCGCCTCCCCCTCCCCGTCTGAGTAGGAGGGGTCAGGGCTGACAGAATGTGTCAAACGCTGCAGCTGGGCAGATGTTCTGCGGAAGGCTCCGCCCACAAAGCCAGTAGGAGAGGGGGCGGAGCTTAAGAGGCGGTTGAAAAGGGCAAGGTTGTGATTCCGGGTTACAGATTCTTCCAGATTCTCGGCAATCTCCTCCAGTGGCTGGAAGTGCATCTCCTCTTTGGGGATTCTGAATTTGGAAAGTGGGGAAAGACAGTTTTGTGTTTAATGTTTGTAAAATTCTTAAAATATGACTCAAAGTTTCAGCTTCAACTTTCTGTGTCACACCTGTATTTATTTGCAGTGTTGTTTCAGAATGTGTTTTATTGCATTGTTGTTTAAAAGCCGGATTACCTAAAACTAGTCAGCCAAATATAGCAGCTCCGGACTGGGGTTTCACATGTTTCTGTTGCACATTAATGCTCTTTCATTCTATTATTAATCTATAAATTTTGTCCCACAAGTGGTAATAGTTATTGTAACTCATTGAAATTCTTTGAGAGCTCATTTTTCCTAGCAGTTTATCTTACCAGACTTTGTTGTTGATCATGTTTTAAAGAGGAATTCTACTGATTTCTACATAATTAAATAGTTAAGATGTAAACAAAGGCAGTCAGAGTGGTTTTATGTGAAATTCAACTTGAGGAAGTTCGAATTCTTCACAGTAATATTGATACGAACCAGACGTCAGAGAGTTTAATGCTCCTAAAAGCTACCTCGCAGAAAGCTATTACATGAAGTGCTTACAAAAACACATCCTGATGGCTGTGCCTTTGGTTTACGATAGTTTTGAGATAGGTTTCTGGCCTATAACTTATTTTTAAAATACATTCAAAGCAGAGAGGTACATGCATTTTGAGGCAAAGTAGTCCTTAATAAAAACTTATTTGTTCAGATGTATCACTATTTGACCATTATTAACAAAACGTATGAAAACTCAAAAGATGTGTTGGTTCACTGTGGGTGTTAGATTGTAAATAAAATGGCTATATTTGCATTGTAGATGTCACAACTTTTGGATCCTATCTTCACTTGTGTAAAAGAAATCAAAGTCAGTTTCTCTGGAATGAACCATTTCAAACCACTCTGAATGACTTTGTTTACATCTCAAAAAAATAACTGTGCAGAAATGCTGATCTATCAGTTCAGCTCCCCATGTACACAGCTTTTAGGGCACTTTTTCACTCATGATCACCCTTTCTTTTTAATGAATAGAAATTTCTTTGAGTGCACAAAGAGGATCACATTTTTCTACCACATCTCACTAGCTGAGTACGTCGACCAAACATGACAAAGTGCCTTCCAATTCATAATTCATGATGAGTCATTTTTAACATGATCTAATTCATTTTTGTAGAGGTATTGTTTAAGTCTTTTTCACTCATTATTTGTATCAAGCTAGAGGTTTGGGGTTTATCCATTCTAATATACACTAAATAGGAATTATTTCAAATGAAGGCAAAGTTTCATGGATTTCTGTGAATGGTGTCAAAAGAAAAGCTACAGTCACTAAACCCGTTTGTAGTTTTAACCTTAACATTTAGTAATGTTGTCACAGCTGTAGCAGGTTTCTATTAAATTGCTGTAGACTCACGCCATGTCGAAGGTGGAGCCCTGAAAGGAGGGTTTGCGGAGGACGAAGAGTGTAGCGGCTGTGTAAGGCGGCCGAGGGTTCGAATCATTCCAGTAACGGTCACGCTCCATCATGGGCAGATCTCCATACATCTCATCTACTGCCATCATAGACACCTGGAGAGTGAAACATAACACACACACACATACAAATAGAGAAAGTTATTACCTGAAATGGTTAAGAATACACTGT